CCAATCAATAAATCCGGTTTTGAAAAAAGCACATTTTTATATGTAATTTTTGATTAACTTTCGCCCGAAAAAATAATTGCACAATGAACACAAAAATTGTTGGAAAATCGCTTTTTGTTATCGCTTAAGCGATTCGAAGATATTTTTGTCAACTGCCCGGCCATTATTGTGTATGTGTGTGTGCGTGTGTGTGTGTGTATGTGTGTGTGTGGAATGTTGTGCCAGCTGTGGCTGTCCCCTCTCTAAAAACTCTATAGCTTAAACATTGGCTATGCATTTGGTGGGCTTCCGCATAAATGAATATTGTCAGCTGGCTGATCTATCCCGCCCCGCCCCGCCCCGCAACGCAGCGCTCTATGAATATGAATATGAAAACTACACACGACTTTATTCCACTGTCTGTGTATCAATTAATTGTTCTGTTCTATTTATAGAATTTGCGGTAAAATTGCTAATATTACTCAAATTTCAACAATGGCTCTTCATATGTTGAGCATTTCAAATGAACCACATGAGTAACTCAAATATTTATCTGCATAGTAGACACAAATGGATATATTCATGTATATAAATATATATATACATATATATATAATCTGTGTGACAGTTGTTCTCTGTGTGTGGGCTATTTGCAGTATTCAAATTTAGAATACAAATAAGGCAAGGCTGGACCAGATTGCGACAATTGTGCAGATCGTACAGCCATGACTAAGTAAAAGTTCATGTATTGCCAATTGCCAATTGCCAATTGCCAGTGTGACCAAAACAGGAAGCACAGATCAAAATTATCTTTAAATCGCTCTGATTCAGCAGTGAACAATCGGCTTCGCGCCACTACAAACTAAATCAATGGTTTGTAAACTACACATATTAGATGATTATAAGTTTTTTTTTGAAGAATAATTGAAATTCCAATAACTATTGGTTTATTTTCAAATTTTAGAATTTGTATAATTTTGTGAAACTATTTAGAAGGGGGGCTTGAGCTGCAAGTGTCTCTAAAAATGTATTTTATTTTTGCCATGATTGAGTGTTTACCAATTGCATAATAAACAACATCTTACTGCTTTCGAAGTACTCACATTATGAAGTGATATATTTTGACACATTTTGGCCAACGATTTCAAAAATAAGTTTTGGCATGTTGCCTTCTATTTGAGTTTATTGATCGAGTGTATGCCTCACGGACTGTGTGGCACAGATTGCCAACGCAATTGTTAAGAGGTATGTATATGTTTTGGGACTTGGGCTAGGGTTATGGTCTACAGTGACTGCAATAAAAAGAAAGACAGGTTTATAGCAATCAGAGTTGAGTATCGTTGTTTTCATAGCTTTCAATGTGTGGTTGTTGTCGTTGTTGTTTTTATTGCTGTTGTGTCTTTATTATGTCGTTTCCCTGCATTCATTTTCAATCTCAAAATGCAGTCGTGTGGGGCAAGTCGGAGGACCCTTTTATTGGGTCTGCTGCCATAAATTTTGTTAACTGTTGCTGCTGCGTCTTTTGTCGTTGTTGTTGTTTCTCTTCTTGTTGTTGTTGTCTTTTGTTTGGTAATCGTCAACGTCAACGTCATCGTTGTTGTCTTCATTTTCTGTAGTTGTAATCGCCGCTTGTCGCATTAAATTGTACCAATAACGTTTGCCTGTTTCTGGCCCTGGCTTAGACACCGTCTTGGAGCTGTTTTTTGGCCATGCCCTGAGCCCGCTACGTTGACAAATGTGCGTTTCAGCCGTCTCATTGTTGTGGCAAACTGACTTCAATATGCAAATCTATTGAAATTAGTTTGCCAAGTTGCCAAGCAGAGCCAACTTGTTCATTGGCTGGCCATAGCGCTGTTAGCCAGATACGAATCGTGTCTTGTAGTTTTTTTGTAAGTTTTTTTTTTTATTTTTAGCTGTTGTTATTGTTGTGCAATTTGCATGATTTGCCAAAGTTGTTGTTGTTGCTCTTGCTGGCGCCATTTGTTTATTATCTTTAGCCCTGTCCCTCTGGCATACTAACTGATCTTGGCTTTATTGCAAAGACCCGAATAAAATTCCACACTTAATTGAATTAAAGGCGGTGACAAGCAGACCAAAGAATCAGGCTCTAAAAGGCAGCCACAACAAACGCGTAATTGGCAACAAAAAAAGTTGCAGTACGCCTAATGACCAAGTTCTTAAGTGGAATTCTGTTCGGTTGAGGCGATAAGCCCGGTGTTGCACACACTACACTACACTACCCGGAATACAGTTGGGCTACCTGTCTACGCGCTGCTGCTGCTGCTGCTGAATGTACCTACCGCACATCATTAGACCTTGTCTAGACAGCTGGCTGGCTATCTGCGTCGCCTGTGTGAACCCTTTTTTTTAAGGCGTTCGAGCAATTTGTTGCGCCCCTTTTGGGCCATAAAAGGGACAGGCCCTGAGGCCGCTTATCTTAATTGCCAGATTGACGCCAGCTTGACGCCAGTTTGACGGCATTAGAATTCCTCCCACCCTCCAGCCAGTGGCAAACTGTAACCGAAACCCCATAATCAGTGACCCCTCGAACTCGCCGCACCACCTTGCATGCCCCAGCATTTAATTGGCACGATTCTCGCGACGCGTCGTCATGCAATTGGCCGTTGGGCGATCAATTAAATCAAAGCGTTTATAGTAACTTGTCTTAAATTAAAAAAATATGTTCGCTAATTTTTACCCAGCTGCCAGCTCTAATTCTATTTATAAACGAGAACAAGCCATGACAAGTGCTCTCAAGCGCACATCAACCTCAGATTCAAATATTTCCCATTTGTTTTTTGTTTTTATTTATTTGTTTGTTTTTGTTGGAGGCAAACGATAAGTACAAGGTTCTCATTGGAATTCTGGTTAAGATACTCGACAAAACTATCGCTATTGTTGGGGTTTTGCCACTTCAATGCCAACTCGTGTGCTCTTAAGTTCTCACAAAGTACAAAAACCAAAGAACAACAATAAAATTGCGTAGTAAATGCTTTGTTTGAATTTTGGCTTGACTTTTGATTTCTGGGGTTCATCTGTTCATTTGTAACAATGATTTGTTTACTTAGCAATGTCATTATATATTTCACATGCTACGCAGTACTTAAGAATTATGAAATAATTTATTAGACATTTATTTACTTTGCTTTCAAAAGATTTCTTTAATTTGATAGACACATTCTGTAATGTTGTATATAATTAGGCATGTTGCCATTTATAACATAAGTATTTTAAGGATTGGCATTGTAGAGTTATCCAAAAGGTGAAATAGTAAACCTTGTCTGACTATAATAATAGTTAAGACTTTTCTCATTACATGGATTGCCTTTAATTGATATACCCAACTGCAGCTGCAGATTTGCACAGTACACAAAAAGAGTTTTATGAAAACAGATGCATCGCATACGTATGTATATTATATATAGTTCTATATATAAATTATGTGCGTACATGTCCTTGTCAACAGTAATGCAGTGACAAATTGCAGCTAATCAGCAATGGGAACATCAACAGAGACCCCAACAACGAGAGACCCCAGCTTAAATGAGGTTCCGTTTTGTTCTGCGAGGTGCGTTGTCGTCGCTCTGAATCTTATCAATTGCAGAAATTAACATGTATATATATATATATATATATATATATGTATACATACTGTCTATATGCTCATTCTATATAGTATAGAACGTTATCAGTTTTTGTGACAATTTTTTAAATGGCAGTCTGTTATAACATTGTTAGGTCAAACACCGCTTTTGGCATGACAATCTCACAGTTCGGTGCATGCTAATGCAGCCATTAATAGGGTGCCTCAGGAGAGATCTCCCACAGAAAGGCAAATAGATATTCATTACGATAGAGATAAATAGAGAGAGGGAGAGAGAGAGAGAGTCTGTGTTCCAATTCCTAATATGCACCTTAATAAATATTACGATCTGCTATACTTGGAGATTTCTGATTTGTGATTCATCGATTTATTGAGATCGAGTTTTAGCATCCGCTTTCATGTGAAAAAGCGGCCAAATGTTGGCGCCACTTTGAAGCTAAATAGTCAATAAACTTGAGCAGAATTTGATGTGGTTTTTGTTTGAGTTTTTGCTTTTTTTTATTATTATTATTTTGTTTCGGTGTTGCTCAAGACAACAAATAAAAACAAATAATAAAAATTATGCGGAGGGAAAGAAAAATGAAATTAATTATAAGTCAAACAAGCATTACAATATTGCCTGGCGCCAGACGCAAAAATCATTAACATTTTTATGACCCGGCGCACAACAAAGAACACCACAGAGATTTATCAGCTGGCGTTACCTGTACCACACACACGCACTAACAGTCAAACTCACAGAGCCACACACACCAACACACACACACACACACACAGATCATAAATCGCAACAAATAATGTCCAAGTTGTCTAACACCTAAGAGCTGGCATAAAGACAAATCGAGAGAGACAGAGACAGATATCGAACAATTGGCCAATGGCCAACGGAGTTTACAATTTGGGCGTACGTGCAAAATCGATGGATGTTGACCAGGCCAAGATGATTCGCAGAATTTCGTGGTGTGGTAAAAGCCAAAATAGTAAAATATGTGCCGACTGACCTGGCCTGCAAATGGCCTCATCTTGATAGGCATCATAAAATCCGAAAACTCAATACTGAAAACCTCGAAAAAATATAACAACAAATCAGTTAGCAGCAAATGTTTTACGTTTAGACCTTAGGCGGCAAGTGCAAATCATTTGGCTCGCTCAGAACCGTCTTACTGACTGCCTGGCGACCAGCTTGCATTAGTTTATCCCGAACAAATTTATCTCACAATTTATGAAAAAAGAATAACAGCTAACAATATCAATAAAGTAGTATGAAACACCTGCACACCAAATATTTCTAAACAAAATCAAATGTTCCTATTTTCAGTTCTATTTTTGCGCCTTCGCTGTATATTTTTAAACTGACTGATCTGATCTTTTTTTAACACTATATTTTCAGCAATATTTCAAGACCAGTCACAACAACAACAAGAACAACAAATACAACTGCTACCAGGAATACAACAACAAATTTAATTCTACTAATAAAAAGCTGATGCAAATTTCTGTGAACTAGCGCCAATAAATTGCGAAAATGTGCTGCAAATCTAACACCATGTGGATATGTTGTACGTCTTCAAGTGGCCAGCAGGAACAAAATGAACAACAACAACAACAACAACCACCAGTGACGACAGCCCACAACACACAATGTCACGGCCAAAAACAGAGGCACAGAAAGAACGGGAGCCAACGACATATTTTTGGCCCAATTTTTACAATCGTAGTTTTTGTCATCATTGCCTTGATTCAAATGGAATCTGTGGCAGCTGGATTGAACGAAGGCCTCTCAGGTGAGTGGATATCTCATCGGCATAATAAAAGATAATAATTGAAATTAAGCTAAACTAATTGGTAGATCACTTGATATCAGACTAGTTTAGTTATAAAGCTTGCTAGATATACAAAACTAATATTTAAAATATTTGTTTTATCATAAAAAACCCAAGTTCATTTGTTATATGTTTATTAAAGTTCAGATCACAGCAACTCAAAGTAGGTAGTAGTGGTCAAATTGCTGTTGATCTTATTTGCTGAGATTATTTCCATGGATTTGAAAAGATTGTTAGACAAGTCACCTGACGCACCAACAGATTCCAACAACGATTAGTTCCGACAGATTCACCCTGCAACTTGTTAACCTTCACCTTAACTGAGAGCCGAGCATTGCGAGTAGCTCTTGCTATAAAGTCGGGCGTTAGCCTACCTATCGCTTTTCCATTCTCATTCCCATTCCCATTCCGATGCTCATTCCCTTCCCTCCCTTGTCGTAGCCAATTGGCCACACGTGCCGCTTTGGCGCTCCCTCCACGTTGCCGTCGCTGTTTCGCGCTGGCGCTTAATCTGTGATTGTGATTAATCAGTCGACGCCAGCGTCCAGCGTCGCCAGCTGTCCAACTGAACAGCTACTGAGCGTATTTGATCGGTGCCAGTTTTTAGTTTTATTATCTGTTTTCTATACCCTGTACCCATTCAAATTGTCTACAATGGGTATCATATAGGTATGGAAATTCCTGTAACAGGCAGAAGGAAGTATTGCTAACTCTATATATATATATAGTCAATATGTGTTCCATACTAGAGACTGACTCAACTTGTAGCATGTGTGAGTTCGCTTGTACGGGGTATGTGATAGTCAGACACTTCCTACTAGATAACTCTTACTTGTTTTCTAATTTTTTTGTATACACATTTGTTGTTCGTTCGTTTTTCGTGTTCTCTAAAAATATTGAGTGGGTTTTTTTTTATATGGCATTCGAGTGTGTTAAATGCCATAAAATATCGCATAAATTAGATATACATATTGCAATTCCGATATCGCATTACTTGAACCAAGGTTCATTAACTGTCCCCCGCTGGATGGACAGCCAAAAGAGAAGGGAATACTCCATCTCCGACTCCGTCTTCGTGTCCACATAGAAAAGTCTAACAAGCACAAAATAAATTTTCTTCTTGATTGGAGCACCAATGGATTTGTTTATGAATGAAGGTGGTCCCAAAAGGGCACAGCAGGATACAAACGCATAACAGGAAAAGAAGCCCCAACAGCAACATCAATAAGAGCCATATCGTGTAGAAGCTTAAGAAAACAAAGAGATACAAACGATGATAATGTCGAGCAGAGCCTAAAACCGATCAAAACCGCCTACAGAAGGCTGCTGCAGCCCTGAAATTGTTGCATCTACAATTGTATCTGCATCTTTGCATCTTTTTTTCCTTTTGTGTGCTTTGGGTTCTTCTTTTTTTTTGTTCTTGTACATCTCTCTCTGAGTGTGTAGCGCCGGCGTCTTCATTTATCAACGAAAACACAGAGTCTGTGTCGTGCTGTACCTGTGTCTTTATGTGTGTGTGTGTGTGAGTGTTTGTGCTTGTGTGTATGTTTATCAGCACATTGCAGGTGGTCCTACAAAGCTAGCCCCGGGCATCGGGACGGTCCCTGCAAGTCAGCCTGGGGTCGCTGTGCCAACGTTTCCGTTTGCCTTCTTGCCTTTCATTTTTGTATCATTTCGAATTATTACTTTGCAATACCCTGTACACCAATATTTTTCCATAAGGGGTCAACGTTTGGTTAATCTTCAAGGGCAACATACTGTTCAGTTAATGTACACATTTGGTTTCGTGCGCTTCTTAAATTATCATTTATAAAGAATATTATAATTTCAAATATTTCTAACATTTGATTAGGGAATATGTGTATATAAATGATATGCACGGTAGAATGTAGTCGGGCATTTAATTAGTGAGCAGCCTAGCTTGTTCTTTTTGCTGTGTTCTTCAACATGTTTAACATGCGGCGCTTGCTACTTTGACTTAGCGCCGGTGCCAAAAGAAAAAGGTAAACCAAACAAAGACTAACCCAAAAGGCAGGCAGCAAAAGGAGGTGAGGGAGATGTAGGAGTGTTGCTTTATTATCTGGCAGGGCATGTTTGGTTGCACACACACACATTCAATTAGGTGTACGAGGAATGCTGATAAAGGGGCCTAATCTCATTGACCTGTTTGGTTTTTGGTTGGGGCGGCGCTGCGGGTCACGTGCTGGATAACATCTCAGTCAGTGAGCAATTTCCGGCTACACATGATTGTAAATTAAATATTTGATTACTTGTTATTTACTAGGCATCGCAGTTGTTGGGAGACTTTTCCATGAATTTATGACTGTTCAGTTTGCTTAGGAATTTCGAATAGCAAACTTCAAAACTCGAAGAAGAGTTTTATCATATCCAACATTAATGTGTTGTTCTTTTCGCTTACAGGTGATATGGAATCCTGCGTCAATGAAGGTGAAGAGGTGCAAATCGAAGGAATACAAAACTCCAAATGCTTCAAGTGCACATGCCAGGTAGGTCAACAAGGGTCACATTAAAATACTTCTCTTTTTTTTATACCAACTAGAGAGTTTTCAACGCTTAACTTTATTTATAAGTTCGTAATGCGTACAGGCGGCTCCAAGGAGCTTCGCCAACAAAACTGGAAGACTCTATGAAATAAAAAACAAATACTAAATAAATCTCATGCGAGCCTTGTCGCTGGCACTGTCTGGCGCGCTGCATGAGCGACGCCAGTGTCCAGCCAGGACATGTGCGGAACGGATTTATTGAGAATATGTCCAGACGCGGCCAAATGTTTGCGTAATCCCCCCCCAAAAGCGCCTAAAAATATTTCAAATTTTTACATTAGACAACAACTAAATTGCGACAGCCAAAAATGCAATGCGAAAGGAATGGACAGGGATAGAGAGTGAGAGGTAGGCAGACAAGGAGACAGAAAAGATAAAGCATATTCCATGTAGATATAATTAAATGCTTAGGATATCTGCTCGTATGCGTAATGTTTCTATTATCTAGGTTAAGGCAAGAACATCATGGAAAAAACTAAAGAAAACTTTGCTGAACAACCAGAAAATATGTAATTCACATTAGTTATTATACATTTTTATTTATATATATATATATGTACGCATTTTCGCAAGTCCTTCAAGGGTACATTCTTATTAACAAATAGCGCAAGTCAATTAAAGTTGAAATTTCTTTAAAATTCCCAAATCGCTTAGGCGCACAGCTGGTTGCGTAGCACTCTTGGCATGCCAAACGTTAGAGTGGAGTTCGCTAATGAGGTTTGCTCTAAACATAGTAGCGTTACTAAATAAGTGGTTTGCTTTTGTTTAGCACAGAAATGTTTGTTCGCATGGTTTGCATTTGTTTGGCTTTTTTCAGTGGCCGATCGACAGAAATTGTTATGATGCAAAGTCGTCCAACGGGTTTGCGACGTCGCGACGTGACAAACGTTAACCACAGGTTAGCCGATCGTTTGACAAACACTTGGCGCCGTGTTTTTTGTCGCCGTCAACGGCTACCGACGGGGCTAGCACAAAGCACAGGCCGCAAAAGTCGGCGTGTCGTGTCGTCATTAAGCGGCGACAGCAGCAGCCGCCGCAGCAGCAGCAGCAGCGCGTGCTCTCGCTGGCGTTGCCAGACTGCTGCTGATGCTGCTCTGCTGCCTGGCTGCCTGCTGCCTGCCTGCATGCCTGTTGCTAATTTGTGCTAAGCGCTGCTAAACGCCGCTGCTCCAATTTGAGCGGCAAGAAGCTTTCGCGACGGCGACTGCGCAGTCAGCAGTCGATCGATTTTTGTTTAGCCTCAAGTCATGAAGCTGCTGCTGCTGCTGCTGCTGCTGATGCTGCTGCTGCTGCGGCTATTGTGGTTGTTCTTGCCATTGTTGTTGTTGTTGCTGCTGTTCATCAAGTGGGCGTAACCAAAAAAAAAAAATATATAACCAAAACAAAATTAAAAAAAGAGGAAAAAACAATACTGGCGCCACCTCACTTTAAGTTGATGGCGCCATGCGTTGCGCCTGCTCTAACTAAGCTATCTGTCCCGCTCGTCACCTCCCGCTCTACCACTCTCTCGCTCTTACTCACTCACTCACTCTCGCGCTGCTCGGTTGCTCGGTTGCTGCGACTGCGCACAGTCATTGAATGTTCATGATGGCATCGATTGAACGCATTTGTTTGTGTGCTTTATGCCGGCTCTTAAGCCTCTTCGCTCTTAAAGCTGCATAAAAGCCACACAATAAATTGGCCAGCCAAATGTGCTTAGCTGCAATTTGGCACAGAATTTATGACTACCATTCTATTCATACTGGAAACTCTTATACTCACATTTATATTCACACTCGCACCCACAACACTGGTGGTGTTCATCAGCGTTCACATTCGCTTTTCATTCGCATTGTTTGTAATATTTGTCAACGTTTTGCTGATTCCCTGATATTTTATGGCTAACGTTTATTATCTCAATACATATCGCGTATTAAGTACACACATGTATGCGTAATCCTGTGAGTTGTCCTCTACTCTAAACACCACCCCTCCCCCTAACCCGACAAGGACAATCAAAGAGATTGTATGCCAGCTGTCTGCTTTTCATCTTTTCTGGGGTGCTTTTCTCGCGTTCTCGTCGCTAAATTTGTTAACAAATTTGGGGTTTATGCGAAAATTATGCTGAATACACATTGCCATCCTAATGGCCTATGATTTAAGCGTTTTTCTTTTCTGTTTTTTATGCTTGTCTAGGCATTCTGCTAGCTGATTGAGCCATCAATTTACCGCATTTTTTACGATATATATTCACAAATTAAATTTTCTGCTGAAAACTAAACAAAAATGCTGGAAAGAGTAAATAGTAGGTGGTGAGAAGATACTGTTTCTATAATAAGATGACTCAGTGAGACCAGTTATCTTCAATAATAAATAATTCAATTATCATAGAATGGATAATTTACAATAACAGATTGCAATAAAAATTAAAACCCCACAAATTTCTAAGATATAAAGTCCAAGATAGTGAAATAAACTGACTGTGATCGACCATATATATCTTCTGAGAAAACAGGAAATCCCACATTACTCGCTTTAAAGAATTCAGACAACTGTTAGTTAAAAGAAATTCCAGCTTCGTTTCGAAGCAGTTATAGCCAAATAGCTACCAGGCAAATTCTACTAGCCCACAAGTGACAAAATATACACATGAATATAAAAATAAAAGCACAGTTTCGTCATTACCATATTCTATGAGCCGCAGCCATGCCAAACCAAGCTTACAGTCGTCCAGTGTCTCTTTGGCTAGAGTCTTGGCCAAGTTTGACTAGCAAACGTTTAGTTGCTCAGCAGCCAACAAGAGCAAGCGACTAGCGATCGGTTTGAGTGCTTCGACTCTGAGGTGAGGAGATGGGGATGGAGACATGAAGGCTGCCGAATGGACGGTGTTAAAACTGATCATGTTTTGTCAAACGCAAGGTCGTTGGAGGCCGTTTGCAAATGTGGTTCTGCCACTGTGGCACACATAGATAGATACGCACACTCACACACTCACACACATACACACACACTCACACACGTGTGCTTTGCTTGGCTTTGGCATTCGTGATTGCCGTTGGCGCAAAACAACAATAACAACAACAACAACAGATTTCATCCTCTACTTAGCAGCTTGTCCGTTGCCGGGTCCGGGTCCGGGACGCTTGGTTGCCTTCGTGGCGCCTTTTCTTTTTTTTAATAGCAACCTTTGCAAGCAGCTACTAGACAACATCAAACAATAACAACAACAACAACATCAACGACAACGACGACTTTGGCGATGCTTAACTTTCATGTTGGCTGAAATATTTCTATACCGGTTCCAGATTAGAAAGAAAGAATTTCAAAGCATAAAACAGCATCTGGAAATGCGTAGAGAGCCCCAGAGTGACCCAGACGCTTCGATCTGTCTCTCTCTATCTCTCGCTCTCTCTCTCTCTCTCTCTCTCTCTCTCTCTATCTCAATTTGTTCAAGAGCATTTGAACTTTGTCTCTCCTCCGTTCGATCGTTTTCCATTCGAATTTTCCATTTTCAAACTGGCTGTCAACTTTTTAGATTTGTTGCTGCTTTTATAATGTTGAAGTGCTTTTCAATCTGTCAATGTTTATTTCATTATGGCACTGACAGTTACGATGCCCGCACCAAAGGTGCCATTTAAATTCTAACTAACAACTGCCATTAAACTAATACGATGATAAAAATCTCGGAACCGTAAAAAAATAAAATTAGAAAAAATACCTCTCGACTCTCAACTCAACTCTCGACACAATTTTCATAACAATTGCAAATTTTGCACGTTGCGACGGCGTCGGCAGCGGTTCCATCCAAATTGAGATCCAATCTGGTTTGCTTGCACTAAATTATACACACATAGATACACACATATATGTATATATATATATGTATAAATATATATTTGTGCCGCGACATTGTTCAGCCGCAACTGCATACAAATTAGTGAAATATTTTGCCTGTTTTTGGTACGACATCTATCTAGATTTATAGATACATTTACAATTAGCTGCAGCAGCCCCAGACTCAATAACACCAGACTCTCCACTTCTCCGTCTTCGTCTCCGTCCTCGTCTCGTGTCTCACCAATCTTGACTAGAGCTGCACATTTTTAACCTGTCACCATGTGCAAAATGCATGCGACAGCTGCGCACAAGGGTTAAAGCCGCCCATTGATTTGAGTTGAGTTGATTCGCTCGTTTGCCGTATCTGACTGAGTGTTGCATAAGCTGCCAAAGCCTTGCCACAAGCTTTTGACTTATGATCGACATCAATTCTAATGCGCCGCTTGCCGCTGTCAACATGTCGTTAACAAACAAAAATAAAAGAAACCTGGCCAAAGATTGTGCAAAATATCCAAGCACAACAACTGCTGCCATTATTGCTGTTGCCAGTTTAGGCCAAGTGGACAGTTGAAGCCGCTAGCTGCCTAGCCAAAGATTGTTAGGTAAAAGTTGCCATCAACGTGAATAACTTGACTGTGGTTTTGCTTAATCGCATTAGACTCCTGCTGTTTTAATGCCTTTAGCCTTTAATCCTCTTGGCGCAAACTCACTGCTTCTGGTTAATGAGGATCTCACCTTATTTCTAACTTAAATGGGAATTCTTTTCGCAGCTCAATTGGACCTTTTACTTCTTGTGCCTCTTAATATTTTAGAGTTGGCTTGTAGCGCCTCTGAAATGTTGCTTATAACCCACTGTGAGCAGTTTACCACGCCCCAAAATATGCACTCAATTCTATTTAATTTCGACTCGTTCACATCCATAAATTATAAAGACTGCTGAAGGTCAGAGTGCAAGCAGTTTGAACAAATGCAATTGCAGCAATCGTTGCACAGCTGAAGCACAGGTGCAGCCATTTGATGTGTTGAGAGGGGGGGAAGAGTTTGGAGGATAGCTTACAGTGTTGGCCAGTTGACAGCGGTCTCTCACTTGGCTAAGCGGGGGGAGGGAGCATGTATCCAAGTCAACAAGTATAATTTATGTGGCAATCCGCTTCTAACAAACTGTTTTTGTGTGTTTTTGCTTTCGTTGTGTAGAATGGCTTTGTGAAATGCGACAAGAGCTGCCCGTCCATTGATGATTGCTATCTACTCGACTCCAAGTCCAGTGACACCTGCTGTCGCAAGTGCAAAGGTAATTAGGCGGCATGGAGGAGCCGCGGATCGCCAGTATTATGTAAGATATAAATAACGATTTGTTGTTAACCAACAGGCTGCATGTATCGCGGCGTGCCCTATGCGAGCGGCGCTGAATGGAGCGATCCGGAGGAACCCTGCAAGACGTACAAGTGCATCGCCAGTGTTGTCACCGAAACAACACAGAAATGTTATTCACAGTGCGACGATAATCAGTTGACAGCGCCACGCCCCGGCGAATGCTGTCCCACATGTCAGGGTGAGTAGCAGTTTGCCTAGCAAATGTGTGTGTTCAAACTGTCCGAATTGTCGCCATTTGTCAACTAGTTCAGCCACTCAACCAGTTCACTTGGCATCACTCACTAAAATTAGCTGGAGCGACAGCAGGAGGCCAAAACTAATAATGCCTCTTAATTCGTCAGATAGCCAAACGAAAAAAATAAACGATCTGCGCCCAGATGGTCAGCATTTTTATATCTATTTTGTTACTCTGCACGATTTGCTTATTTATGGGCTTTAAATTGTCTATTAAGTCCACAATGTCGCATTGCGTTCAAAACAAAAAGACCAGATAAACTGTCATTATAGCAAGATTAGGGCTAGTAGATACCCTGCAGTTAATTGTTTTGTTAGATAACTTTTGATCCTATGATGCCATCATTATAGATCTTGAGGATTAAATAATAGATAGCTGAAAGGTTTATGGGCGAAAGTGATCGACGCATGGAATCCAGCTTCCATCAAGATTCAGTCAAAGCTGTCTCAACAGCATGTTACTCTGTTCAACCTAGTCTTATGCGTACAGGGTATAATAGGTACGAATGGCCCTCTGTCTATGCAAATAGATCGCTTGGAAACCCGTTTCGACATGTGGAAATTTTCTTGGCACACGCCCAAAAAAAAAACACACACACGAAAAAAAAAATAATACGTTTTATAAACCGTTTTCTGATGAAAAGTATCTCGTTGTTGTTGTTGTTGTTGCATGTACACTTTTGCAGGTTGCAAGATCAATGGCCAGACCGTTGCCGAAGGCCAAGAGGTTGTCGCCTCGATCGACGATCGTTGTTTGGTCTGCCAGTGCAGCGGCAACGAGCTGAGTTGCGCCAAGAAGACTTGCCCCATACTGCAGTGCCCCAAAACGAAGCAGAAGCAGCTGCCCAACGAGTGCTGCCCACGCTGCACCGAACAGCGCGAATTTGTGCCAGTCAAAGGTGAGTCTCAAACTCAGAGCTGAGACAAGCTCAATTAATGGCAAGCATTTGCTAACTAAATGCCAAAACTCCATACCTATCCACAGGCAAGTGTATATTCAACAATAAGGTCTATTACGACAAGATGCAGTTTACGCCAGATCGTTGCACCAATTGCACCTGTTCGAATGGCACCTCGATCTGCCAGCGCGCCACTTGCCCCATTTTGGATTGTGCGCCCGAGTATCAGGAGGAGGCCGGCTGCTGTCCCCGCTGCGTTGTCCTCGAGGTCAGGAGCGAATGCTCGCATCAGGGCATCACGTATATGAACAACGAGACGTGGAATATGGGTGCCTGCCGCAGTTGTCGCTGCATTGGTGGCAACATACGATGCTCCGAGATGCGCTGCCAGCCGGTCAAGTGTCGACCCAATGAGGAGCTGAAGGTGCCACCAGGCGAATGCTGTCCCAAATGCCTGGAAACCGCCGGCACATGCACCGTCTTCGGTGACCCACATTTCAAAACGTTTGATGGCAAATTCTTCAGTTTCCAAGTAAGTATTATTTGTATTTAATGTAGTATGTAAATGTGAATTATATTGTTGCTTCGCGTAATAGGTAGCGACATTTATGGGCACATATAAAAAAGCCACTTGATTATTATATATATTTGTACTATTCGCCGCATTTATATATATATATATATATCTAGCAAATAAATTACACGTTTAAACCGACTTTTATATGCCCATTTGATTTGCATAGCCAAGTTAACTTTACGACCCATTCACATTGCTGAATTTGCTGCCGATCTCGACTGCGGCAGTTAATGTGACCACCCGCTAAGTGCGATGAATTTCAAGATGCTCACTTCAGTTCATCGTGTCAAAGCAGACCGCACAGCTAATATTTTAACACTTTTTTTTTAAATAAGTTGCTATCAAAGTTTTTCAGAATATTAATTTTCCAATCAAGTTTATAGCCTTAAGGGGTATTTTCGGAATGATGTCTTTATCAAGCCAAAAAAAGGTTGTTAACGAAAATTTAAGTGAAGCTCAATTGTATAATATCTTGAAAATTTGGAATCTTTTATCTAAACGGTCCTTTGGCTTTTATCAACTTTCAGGGCAGCTGCAAGTATCTGCTGGCCTCCGATTGTTATGGTCACAACTTCTCCATACGGCTGACAAACGATGGACGCGGCACGCGACGCTCATCGTGGCCCAAAACGGTCACGCTCAAGCTACATGGTCTGCGCATCAATCTCGGCCAGAAGTTACGCGTGAAAATCAACGGCACTCGTGTGATGCTGCCCTACAAGAACCACAGCAGCAGCAGCAGCCACAATGGGCATGGCCACAATGTGAGTATCGAACGATTGGCTGAGGGTGGCATCATGTTAACGACGGAGCTGGGCCTGACCATCGAATGGGATGGCAACACTTTTCTGCAAGTGTCGGTGCCGGCACAATACAAGCGTCATATGTGTGGACTGTGCGGCAATTACAACGGCAGTGGACGGGATGATCTGACCGGAAGGGACGGACGGCTGCATAGCGATGATAAGGTCGGGCACTTTGCCAACTCATGGAAGGTGGGTGGACCGAAGTCGTGCTCGCGTCAACGGGAGAATGTTGTGGCGCAGCCGATATGCAACAAGCGTATTTACAACTTCTACTGTCGGCCACTGCGTGTCTCGGAAGTATTTGGTAACTGTGATAGTAGACTTAATCCCAATAACTACATCGCCTCCTGTCGCATGGACGTCTGCGAGTGCCCCACGGGTAGCTGCCACTGTGACAGCTTTGCGGCCTATGCCCACGAGTGTCGACGCCTCGGCGTTCAACTGCCTGATTGGCGTGCCGCCACCAATTGCACAATGGGCAGCTGGCGTCGCAATGTCACCGAGTCCACCTTTATTGGCAACAGCTTGTACGGCGATGCAAGTTTCTTGATGCGCGCCAATGGCAGCACTGGCAATCGTGGCACAGTTAAGGAGCAACGTCGCAAGCAGAAACTAAAACAGCAGCAACATCAGCTGCATCTGCAACAGCAGCACCTGCAACAGCAACAACTACAACTGCAGCGACCCCTGCAAAATGAGCTGCAGGAAAATGAATACAGCAAGAAACATGTGCCCAATAAATTCTTACGGCCGCGTGCGCCGGATCGCACGCCGCCTCCAATACACTGAGCACTGAGTATGGATTTAAACATATAATTTAGTTACTATGCATACACACACACACACGCACACACACTCACTATACACACTCACACACGCACCCACATACATGCACTCTCTCATGCAGGCTAATGCAAAAAACATTGCATACTTTTAAGTGACAATGACACGAGCTGAACCGCAGAGGATTAATCGGAAAGAAGAGCTACAGACATTATTTATCTATTTTTTTGATTTAGCCTTAGCTAAACATTTCTCAAATTGACTAAGAATTGGACTCAAACTCTAGTTTCCGAGCTGAGTTGAAAGCGTTTCAGCCAGTGTTATTGGCACACATTTTGGGTAGCAAGTTAACAAGAAAGTTCCACATAAGAATTTTGATTGTATGTCCACTCCCATGACAGCACCAGTATTAAGCTAAGCATTATCCCCTCAAATCCTACATCCAACAGTCTCTGGTGTTATATACTCGATTAGTGTACCATTTTATGCTTGCCTTTATTCACACATCCAACATCTGCATTCGTTGTCGCCATTTTGTTTAGTTTCGATAAGTTTTATTTATTTTAGACGATAAGTTATTATTTAGACCCCTGGCCTAAGTACTACTCGAAAGTATGTTGTGTGTCTGTTAATTTTTGATGTATTTTATGTATGTGTGTATTATCGCTTAAATAAAACTCGTACTACTCGATAACGATAATTTAGTGTACTTATAAACTACTATACTATATATATATAGTAATGTTAGTTAAACAAATTTTAGTTTTGCTTAAAATTTAAGCTTTAAACATTTATGAAAATTGCACAAACAGTATTTTTGCTTAGTTTAAATCCCATTATAATACTGCAAAATAAACTACTGAAGGAACAAATTGGGCTATTTTCCCAAAACTTAACTCTATCTCTCTAACTTTTTCTATAACTCCCTCTCTCTCTATCTCTATCTCTCTTTGTCTTTCATTATATCTTACTAACTCGAACATAAAATCTTTAAAAATTCCATATATCCCAATAGAAAAAAACTTGGATTAGTCCCTTAAAAAAACTGTGTTAATATTTATAATGTTCAATCCAAGTTGCACTCAAAAACAAAAAAAAAAAAAATTGATTGTCATTTTCCAATAATAATGATATATTAATCAAGTTTACTTAATGTATGTATATGGCTGGATCTGTAAATGTATGACATAAATATGCTTATAAACAAAATCTCCTAAACAAAAAACAAACAAAAACAAACATTTTCCAATGCAAGAAAACTAATAAAACATATGAAAATTTTAAATGCTGTCTTTTTAATTGTTATGGACTCAAATAAAATTACAAGAATTTAACTTGAAATCACACCGAAGAAGCGATCTTCGACTTGGTAAAGATGAGCATCGAAAGTCAATATGCCATGGTCTCTCAGTCTTGAAGCTACCTTTATTATATGCCCAAGTTTGCTCATATCTGCAATTGAAACTGCAGGAAATATGAAAGAGATATATAATATATATACGCAGATCATGTTTGGAACTTCATAAAGTTTTAGCTCTGCAACTCCAATTCAATTTAGAATCTTCGATTGAAATGCGCTTGCTGTTACGGAGTGCATGATATTTATGATGATGCTGTTGCTGTTTCTTGTTTGTTGTTGTTTTAGTTGTTGCTTTTTTCTCGCTGCTTAAGTGGCATCAGATTCGCAGGCACGAACCCGAAAACAATTGCGACAAGAGAGACGACGGCGACGACACAGCGTCTAGGGTGGCTGCCGGTCGCTGGGGCTGCAGACGGAAGGAAGTGGTTCGACACTTGGCGGTGCTGCGAGCTCTGCTCTTGGACTGGGCATTAAATTACACACTTGCAGACTCGCACACACTCACAGAGAGACAGAGAGACAGAGAGAGAGACACAGAGTCACACTGAGTCGCAATCAATTTATGCATGTTTGCATAGCAATACTTGTCAAAGTTGTCTAGGGTTGGGGTTTTGGCTGTGCACAACTTTGTGTGTAATTTGAACAGGGCAATCATTTGCCTCCGCCTCGGGCTCTGGACATATGGGCAATTTTCTTGGAAGTCACAACAGGCAATACTTATATACAAAAAGCTCGTAAATCGACGTTGATTTAGACTGAAATACAATCTTATGTGCGAGCTTGAAATTGCGGGCGCTCCATTGAGTAAAGCCACCAAACACGCAATTGTTGCCGCAGTGGGGCACGTGCAGCGCATGCGCAACGAGGCACAACAAGGCAGCAGCAGTGCCAGCTGCAGCTGCTGGACGATTGGACAAAAGCGTCTGATTGATGCACGTCGTCTTCAGCAGAATCGAGTTAAATGCTTTGACATCTGCGTCTCGGCCACCGACAGTGTTCTGCGACTTCTGTTGCTTCCGCGTGTTGGTCGCCTAGAGAGCCGACGCGCCAGCAGCCGCACCAGCTTTGGCCAGCGGCGTCGCGTGCTCGCTCCTTATCAGGCGCTAACCTGTCCATATTGGCGCAAATGCCGTTTGCCAATATGGTGCGTATATAATTGGAGCGTGTGTATGTGAGTGTGTGCGAGTGTGTGTGAGTGTATCTGTATCTGCACGTCTGTCCGTCTGCGCCGTCGTATGGTGTGGCGCCAGAACGTGCGCCAAATTTGGCATTGTGAAATGTTGCTGCTGTCCAGTCCTCAATGTCCCATAGGCATTAGAGCGTCGCCAGCTACTTAAAATCAGCGATTTATCATTTGAGCAATGTTTGCCCTGCACAAATGACAACGGCGACAAGTCGAAGAGATATCTAAAGCCACACATCCATAACAACCCATCCAAGCCATCCAGCCAAGTGGCCCTTCAATTGCAAACAGAACTCATAAAGATGCGCAGCGATAAGCCGAACAAGCGGAAGGAGGGACGAGCATATGGATGACTAGTTGCCATGCATCATCATTGTGGCGGCACAAGTCCTGAACCCTTGAATTCTGTGACTCCTTCAGAGTCCTTTCAGAGTGGCAAACGCATGAATCACTTTTGGACCGGGACACAATTTGGAGCGTAGGAGTTTGCCGCCATTAGCGGCATATGTCAGCAGACGCCCACGTAAGCCATCCAAGGGCTGCACTTTCCGGGTGGCTTTTCCCACGCAAATGCGGAAGAGGAAGCCCGGAAAAGCTAACAGAACAGCTAACTTGTGCTCGCTGACGCGATGACAGACCCAACCAATCGCTTGGCCAATGAAGCGTTATTTATGTCAATGACTTGGCTTTGTGTGTGCCAGAGTGAGAGAGAGAGTGTGTGAGAGTATTTCAAGCAGATGCGGCAATCAATTGTTGAAATAAAATAAAGCATACTCTTCGGCGGTGACCTAAATGCCCGGACAACGGGGTGGCAATTTCAGTTATTCCATATGCCCCATTTACACCGCAATGCTGCAAACACAACAACATAGAAAACCTGACAGACAATTTAGAAAGAAGTGACCTCGAATTATCCTGACGTACACGTATAGGTAATATTTATCAAATCAAGTTTGCTTTAAGAAACAAGCCTTGACTCAACTTAATCAGTTCAGATAAAATTGAATACATTTCACGATTTGGTTAAAGCAAATACTTTGCAGCAGCTACCGTAAACTGTATGAAAGCTTATCTTAAGATAATCATCAGATAATTACAGGCTATGCTACACTCAACTCTTATTCCCATACAAGTTAGAGTATTTGAAACACACTCATGTGAAAGGACAATAATATTGATACACATGTAAAATTGATACTCAATAAACGATAGCCCTTAAACTTTATGAGCAGAGTATAAATTAAATTTACGAGCTACTCAGCGTTTTTCTATATTGTCAGCCACTCAAATCTACAAGTATATAATTAAATACACACGAGCAGGAATATAATTTATTTTAATGCCGTATAGCTTGCAAGCGACAAGCAACAAAAAAAATAAGCAAAATAAAAAGCAGCGTGCGAAAGTGAGTATTCGATTACACATGATTGAATGAATGAATGAATGTGAGTTGTTAAAATTAATAGTTATTTTCTCGCGGCGTTTCATTCTTGCTACGATTGGTTCTATCTAAATTAATGTGCAATCAAGTATTCAGCGTCGCATCTAATGATGATGGCCTGCGTGTGTCTGTTAAAAATACTTGGTTTTTTGGGGTTTTCTAGTTAAATTAATTCCCCCCGAAAAACATATTCGGATGTAGGCAATATCGAAGGCATTTGCATAATCAGCAGAGATAGAGAAAGCAGAACTGACAACAGGATGTAAATCTAGTAAGACATACCTATATAGATGGCATTAGTATGCCTGTTAAAAACAATCAAATTGATTTAACAGACACGCTGGCGTCAGCGTCCGAGTTTGTGTTATGCTCTTCCAAAGAGATTTTATTAATTTTGCTCCGAAATATGGAACACAGCTTCGAACCCATAAAGTAAATGTACAAATATATATATGTGATACATATATGTATATACATATATATATCGATTTGTGTATATAATTTATTGATATAAAAACAATGCATTAACATTCATTCATTCATAAAATACTGATTGAGTTCCGAGTACACTGTAAAAAAGTGTATTTAAGCATCGGCTAGGTAAGTTGATGGTTCTGTTTATTTTTGCAACTCAACTCAAACAAGTTGCCACACAATGAGACATTTCGGCCAATGGCAATTCTTGTCAGAATTTTATATTTTATTGATTACATAAATCAACTTGTTTTGTTTTTGCTCTCTCGTAACAGCTGGCATATTTTAATTCAAATCAATTAATATTTGACATACGACAAAGGCGAAGACGAGCTAAAGATATACAAATTGTACCTCGTCTCTGTATATCGAACTCGTACTTCAAAGCATTTATCATCAGCAGCATTATTCAATAAAATCAGTAAAATGCAATTAAGCGCAATTATGCATAAAGCGTGTACTTTTATGTAAACGGCGCCCTGACTCGCCCGATGTTAAATTAAGACGGAAGTTTCAAGCTTCCAATCAACGCCCGAGAGGTATTAATGGCGTTTATCTAATCGAATAATACGTTAAAGGAAAATGCGCATATGCATATTAAATAATGCATCCAATATTTATGCTAGCTGCATCGATTAGATAACAATTTAAATTATTCCAACTAATGTTTTCACGCGCGCATTAAGCGTAAGAGCTGCTTGCAAATTATACAGAAGTTATTTCCCTACAAACAGTAGCACATTTTATTATAGCTTCATTAAGTAACATCAAAGGAATCAGTGAAGATTAATCAGAATTATACCAGAACTAAGTTTAATTATTAACCGAATAAAAGTAGAAATAAAATATAATATATATGTATATATATGTTTATAAATCATAAAAGTTAATCAGGAAATGATGGTACACATAATAAACAAGTTTGATAAATTTATAAATATTAAAAATGTTTCAATCAGCAGTTCGGTGAGTACATTAAAATATTTGCTCAAGTAAATTCATTCTACTGCCACTAAATCAAGTGGAAACTTTAAATAGCCGCGTTGAGAATGGTGATCGCTATTTACAATTAGCATATTTTACTAAGCTTAGTCTAATGGGTTGACACTAATATGTCGAATATGGTTGCTATTAAAATTAAATCACAAACTCGTTGCTAACATAAAATTCGGTTAAGAAACAATTCAATTGGCGCCCACAAATTAGGCGAAAAAAAAGCGTCATCAAGATCCCAAATGAATATTATCTTAGATTATTACAGATCACTGATGTTAACATATTGATTATATTTAATGGCATAATAAATTGAAAGGTGCTTATTTCATAGTCTGCTCAATCGATAACAATCAACGAAGAGCGCGTGGCAGTCAATGGACTGATTCTCTAATATTTGAATCGTATAAAATCAATTTGTATCTTTTGTGTGCACAACAATAAGCGAACTTTTATGTTCTGTCACTAGCATTTCGAAAATGACGCTGGAGCCGAAGCTGACACCGAAGCTGGCACTGAAACATGGTAGCTTCTCGTGTTCCCGGTCATTCCCTTAAATAATTATTTATGTTTATTTATTGATAATATTTTTCTTAAACTTGTTCTTGGCCGTTTTGCTTTAAACGTGTTAGAAAGGCTTGGTTCGCACAACGAAATGGCAAGAGAAATAAGAATATAATACACTCAGAGAACAAAACTAAAATTATTTTTTTCAACTAAAAAAATTACAATATTATAAGAACTTCTTGACAAGAATTTTCCAAAATTTGCAAATATGATATTTCCGCAAGTAATGATGATTCAAATTTGTGTTGAATACAAATTGAAAGTCAATAATGGTTTTATTAAAAATTAAATATTTAGAATACGAGTATCTACTACTTAGATCATCGATCAACTTTCTCTGAGTGTAGATACGCAAATATATATGTAGTATACTTTATAAACTTAAGTTAGCTAAGTTAGCAAACATGCTGAGCTTGGTTGACTGATTCTCAGATTCTCGTATCTGGGTACGGAGTCTGTCTGTCTGGTCAACGCTATTCATTCGGACAGAAACGTTCAATAAAGACGGCCACGCGAATTGGCCAGGTTCTCATTGAAAGCGTTAGGTTCAGGCGATTGCTATTACCCAACGGTTCAGAAATCAATGTGCCACAACATCATCACATATTAATCTTCATTTACGCAACAAATAAAACAGTATTTAAATTCAATTCAATCGGTTTGAGATTTGCTCAAATGCTCAAAATGTCAGTATTTGTAGAGTCAGCTGCCTGCGTGGCTGTACTTCAGTTGTTCCTGATCCACTTCGCCGTCAGCAAGCAGTACGACTGGTGTGATCCCGATCTATGTGGTGGTGGGAGCGTCAAACACATCGCCTGCCGCAACAATGGTGTAAGTGGAATTCGATTAACATAATTGGAATATGGTTTCCTAATTGATGCTATGTCCTGCTGCTGCAGAATTTCGCTAGACGCTGCCAGCCCGACGCCTACGAAGTGGATATTTCGCGCCATAAGAATTACTTTGTACATGGCCACAATAAGCGGCGAAACTTTATAGCGCTGGGCAAACTACCTGGTTATTATCCCGCAGCACGCATGACCACAATGGTGAGATTAACTTGAAGATCTCCAAGTCGGCAAAGTTTATTCAAATGACTTTACTAACTCAGGTCTGGGACGATGAGCTGCAATATTTATCGTCACTGAATGTGCGCACTTGTATATTGGATCATGATGATTGTCATAATACGTACAGATTTGCCAATTCGGGTCAGAATCTATGCGCTATTTGGCGTGATCGCAATCCAAACACAAATGTAACCAGCCTCATTGAAGAGTCGTTGGGACTCTGGTTCAACGAGTATCCCCTTATCGACAGTAGTTACATCAACAGATTTCGTGTCACGAAATACTTGTAAGTATTGCAAAGTTTAAAACAAAAGTAAATGCAAATGTATAATATTCTGATTGTTATTTATTAGTGAGGACTATGGTCACTTTGCTGAAATGACTGTGGATCGTAATTCACGCATTGGCTGTTCTATATTGCGTTTCACACGGCCTGACTACCCCTATGTGTACATCTACAATGTAGTCTGTAATTATGCGTCCATCTACGCGTTGGATGCACCCGTGTATATAGTTGGAAGACCAACATCACAGTGTCAAACGGGAAGGAATCCATCATATCCAGGTCTGTGCTCAACGCGCGAGAACTACGATCCCAATTACTGATCAATCAGTGATTATAGTTTGTAGAATTTTGTTATGATTGGGTATAGAAATATACCGGAACTTAGAAAACACTGTCTGTATTGTATTTTACATAGGATTATAGCTAATTGTAGTAAATCTCACTTTTGTTGTTTATCAATAAATAATACATCCCAATATTAATATATCGACAATCGACCACTTTTGGATATGAACATCAGCGGCTGTCAAAAGATTTAATAATTTTTATAATTAGTTAATGATTTGTTGTAAAACAGCCTGCTTGTTAAAGACACTCAAAACTGGCAGTGAATATTTAAATTTGGCTTTAACGAGCTTAACCAAATGATGCCAAAATGAATGAGCGACGCCTATGCATATTCACAATAAAAGACGGCTCAACTGCAAAATACCCGAACCAGAAGGAACACATTTAAGATTTGGGCGAAGCGCTGTTTTCTCCTAATAGCAGAATATACCTCGGTATATTTTTTAAATTCGGGTATTAATCACCAGGTTAGACAGGTTAACATTTGATAGCACAGCACTTTCGTTTGTTCTTCCCAGCAAAACAACGATGCCGAAGATCATAAGCCTCTTGTTCAAATATGCAAATATTATTTGTATTTGCTCTGATGATTTTATCTGCAAAACAGCTGCCGATCTGTTGCGATTATCACACAAAAAACAAAACAAAAACAACAACAGAAAAGAAACCAGTATTTGGAATCTTAAGCAGTTTAACTTGTCAGATGCAAACACTACAACTGCCCAGTAAGGAGAATAAAATGTCAGTGAACCAAGGGGCAAACAACACCCACATTGGCTGGCACAACTCAGTGAGACATGTGAAAGATCTGCTTTGAACTCGATTCAACTTTGTTTGAATCAAGTTAATGGGTTAATTTTCCCAGAAGACAAGCGCACTAGTTGATTGTACGATACAAGTCTATGTAGCAGTTTATTACTTGCTTACCCATTTTTTTTTTTTTGCAGTTTACATGTTTGAAGCCACAATGCTGAACTTAACCTTGATCTTGGTTGGGATCCACTTATTTACATTGGAATAATAATAAGGTTTTTAACCCAGACTTACCGCACTTGTCGCCAGTTTGTGTTTGGCAAACGCGTTGTTTAGACGCCAGATCCTAATAATGTAGTGCTGCCATTTCATAAAATTTATCAAATCACTTAAGTGATTATCCTCGTTTGGAAAACAATACATCTTGATATTGTAGTGCTGTCAATTCTTAAGCTTTATAACGATTTCGCTTTTATTTATTAACAATAACACACAAATCACTTTAATTGATGTCATCGCGCGTTTTATGGGGAGATGATGCCGATCTAAATCACTAACATGCTCCAATTATCGCTTACGGTGCTGCGAAATATTTTAAAACAGCTTAAAATAAACGCTGGGTGTCAATTGTGACTGGGGCCCGTTTAAGATATAATTTAATAATTTTGGCAATTAGAGCCCACATACACTCCGATTTATATGTGCATATGTTAATCTACAATATTTACAATAATAATTTGCATGTTTAAATGAGATGGCAATAAAGGATCAACAAACCGTAAGCATCCCAAGTGAAACGTCTATCGCCTGTACGCAGGTTGCGGTTAGTTTAATCACTTTGTTGATTTTGTAACTTCAGTTTACACGTTTTAGCCTTTAATGTGCTTTCAATTAATTCAGAAAAGACGGCGTGACCTGCCTTAACCGGGAAACTGCATCCATTCAAGCCGAATGCATATGGGCTCGCGAAAAGTATACAAAAATAAAATTCGATTTCGGATCGATTCGTATATAAATATTGCGCTGCTTACTGTCAGGATTAACATTTTAATAACATTTACTGCAGCAGCGGCAACATGTCGGCAAAAACTCATTTCATCTGCTTTTATATGCTGCTACTCAGCGCACTCACAATATCAACTGTTTCGGGCACCTATCCATCGTGGTGCGATGCCAAACTGTGTGCTGAGGGCGCCGCGCATGTAGCATGCAACAATACGGGCGTAAGTTTCGATGGGTAGCAAACTGCAGCATCGATCAATAACTGTAATCTGAAATATCTGCAGGAATTCAATGAGAACTGCGCACCAGATGCTGTTATGATCAATTTGCGACCGCATCGCAGCTTTATCCTGGATGCGCACAATAAACGTAGAAATTTTATAGCCGGCGGATATCTGCCCGGCTATTATCCAGCAGCACGCATGGCCACAATGGTTTGGGATGACGAATTGGAATACTTGGCCACGCTGAACCTGAAGACATGCCAACTGGATCATGACGAGTGCAATAATTCGTATCGCTTCCGCAATGTCGGTCAGAATCTGTGTGGTGTGGATCGACATCGTCTAAAGCCACTAAATGTGCGGAACATAGTGGAGAACTCGATGGGTCTCTGGTTTGGCGAATATCCGCTAATTGATAGCACCTACATAGCCCAGTTTCGAGTGGCCAGGCATCTGTAAGTTGGTCAACCACTTCGGAACTCGTCGCCTATTAATATAAATAATCTTTTTTTAGGGAGAAATATGGTCACTTTGCGGAAACTGTGGTGGATCGGAATACGCATGTTGGATGTGCCATGATGCGCTTCACCAATCCTCAATATCCCTTCCTCTATATCTACAACATGGCCTGCAACTATGCCAGCACCTATGCTGTGGGTGTGCATGTCTACAAGGTGGGGGAACCGGCCTCCGAGTGTACAACGGGTGTCAATCCCAAATACTCAGCGCTCTGTTCAGTCAGAGAGCAATATAATCCCAACTATAATGAATATTATGATGAATAAACTGACCAAAGATATAATTATATTTTGACTTACGCTACTTTCTTCCGGTTTTATCTTATACTTTCTACCTCATTTCTTCAGTTTTGTTTTCGTTTTACAGGTTTTCGATGAAATTATCAAGTCGTTAATTAAGCTTTAATGAATAATGTAAAAAAAATAATCCCACACATTATATTGACATATGTCTTTACAAATTTGCACTCGCACATTGGCGCAAAGCAGCTTTCGTTATTGTTGAAATTCTGGATTTCATTTATGTATTATACAATATCTGCTCACAGCTTATTTAAGTATTTATTGATATTTGTACTTTATTGATTTATGAGCGAGTAAACCAATTAACATCATCAAAAATACTAAGCATTTTGTGATATTTTGGGTTTTTGTGCATATTTATAAATATTTATTTAGCTGTAATACCAAATATTTAATGTTGAATCCAACCATCAAATTGCAATGCATTATTTAAATAAATAAAATTTAAAACAAACACTTTTAATTGGAAAAGGTGCTTAACCGTCAATTGCACTAATCCACACCTTGGTCGTCCAGACAGTGCAGTGAGTAATCCATTACGCACTCGATTGTCGTCAGGCATTCAACCTGAAGCCGGTTACACTATACTCAATTAGAGGGATTTGGATCTTGCACAGGCACAGGCACAGGCCAAGTCTACAGTCTGACAGGCGATCACAGCCCACACGATCTCGCATGCCAGATGCAGCGTCTCTCTGTCTGCCTGAATCTGTTTGTAATTGTCTGTTGTATTTCCAGAAATGAAATTCAAACTTCCAACACTGACTAAATTGGGCTGATTTTGTTCTTAACTTGAGCTATTGAATAATTCATCATTTGAAATATAAGAATTTATTGAGGATGAAGTTTTTAAGTTACAAACGAAAAACCGAACAGTTCTATGCACAAACTGATATGACCCGATGAACTATATGACAACTATATCTTAAGGTTCAAAATTCCCATCCTCCAATCAGCCCACCCAGCAGGTAAGCAGGCAGGCAGTGGCGTATAATAGAGTAAGTAACCTAGCTGGACCCGTGGCATATGCGTCGGCATTTCTCACTCAATTGTGGCCAATTTACGAGGCATTGTTGAGCCTGGTGGCTTGTTGTGGGTAAACTATGCACAACTGGAGCAGCAGTCCATATAACTTACCTCTGTATCATGTGTGGGACTTGGAGTTGGCGAGGCACAGGCCACAGGCCACAGCCTGACAGGGGATCTCAGCCCACACGGCGCATGCAGCGTCTGGCTGACTGTCTGTCTGACTGAGCAGCAACTGCAACTGCAACTGCAACTGCAGCTGCGGTCTGGAACAATGCGTGTGTAAGCGTGTAGCTTTATCTCTGACTTTTATCGTATTTTATCTGCAGCTATGCATCATAAACGAGTCCACACACAGGCAGACAAACACGCCCACATCACTAGATTCCAGTTCTATTGCCAACTCAAAATAAACACTGCTCCCTGACAGTTTTCACATGTATTCAACTACAAGAATAAGATAGGATTATATGAAGGTGTTACCACCAAATGCCCAAATCGCTGAACAGCTCCTCAGTGGTTGGCAGCTCAAATTCTTCATTGACCCACTCGGAACGTTTACCTTGTCTTTGCGACTGCTGCTGCTGCTGCTGTTGCGTATCTTTGGTATCAGCCGTGGCTGCTGCCGGGCCGTAATCCTTCCGATAGCCCATATCGCGCAAATCCTCCTCATCGTACTCCTCCTCGTCCTCAACGGCCTCCAATGAGCTGCTCAAATGAGGTTTTCCAGCACGGGCAACCGATGAATCCCCCAGCATGCGCTGCATGTTGCCAATCTCATCCTGCACCACTTGTGGTTGATCTGCATTTGCCATTTGCGTTTGCTTAGTTTTCTGTTCATCAGTTGAAGATGACGCTAAACGGACGATGCGATCGAAGAGCGTCACAAAGTGGCGTCTAAAGCGACCGTAGTCGAAGCTGTCCCTGCCGCTATTCCCATCGAGCAGGCCATGCGTTGACGTCGACTTGGAACGCATAAGCGGTCCAAAATGATGCAGCATATCAATGCCAGGCGCCATCGATTCTTCCCAGCTCTATAATACAGTTGCATTATTTTCTTACTAATATTATTGTTACTATTGCCAACCAATTCTGTCCAGTCCTCCACAGGCACACTGAGCACAGAGCTAACAACATTCACCACTCGCTCCTCCAGGTTCAGTGCCTGAATTATCCATTTGGCCAATGAAATAGCGCAGTTGAGGTCGCTACGCTGCCTAGACACGAAGGCGAATCAATAAACAACAAGAATAAACAACAACACCAATTAATAAATAAGTTAAGTACCCATACATCCAATTACAGTGACTAACAATAAACTACAAACACTCTGCTGAAGGCAAGCAAACACAGCTATCCACGTTTAAATATCTCTACCACAATATTAAATTAGTTAAATAAATTAAATGTATTAAGCTAGAAGTTCTGATTATTACTAATCAAATTATTATATAAAAACATTAAGTTCAAGTCCAACATTAAACAAAAAGTTACTTTCGAGCATGTTGTACATCAAATGTGAGCCACTGTATGTATACAGGGCGTGGGTGGATAATTTCTGTAGTAAGTAAACCTTACCTTTGCTCGTCGCGTCGTATTTCAACCAGTTTATCGCCTTCCAGTATTAGGTGGTCATAGTTCGCCTCTATTTGCATGGTGAGTGCCTCTTTGGGCTCGCTCTCCGATTGCTCCTGTAGTTCACGTTGTAGTGTTTTGAATTGTTGCCATAGCGCCTCTAATTGTTCCTGCAAGTGCCATAACAACTCAGAACCACCTTCCCACTCTCACTTTCCCACAACACTCACCGTTTGCTGGCGTATGTTTTCCTGTGTCTCGTGGTGCACATCGACGCGATGAAGAATGGGCTGAGTGGGCATAAAAGGAGCAGCCATGATGCGTTCCACACAACGATTGAGTACGCCCCGTTTGGGCTTCTTCTTGTCCATTTTGAGCAGACCCGCATCGCCATCCAAGCGCAAGGTGGTCTCCACAATGCGCTCCAGGACCATAGCAAAAGTTTCCACATAGTCCGATTGAATTCTGTAATGTTAATGCTTCAGTAGAATCCAGCTAAGTGAGCTATCGAGTCGTACCGTAGGCGATTTGAATTCTTTGCAGCCACTACAGTAATGACCTCCGTTAACTTATCCAGACCTGGACAGAGCAGCTGCAGGCCCAATGCATGCGCCTCGCTCTCCCCCTCTAGGAACTCAGCAAAAAAGGTGGCAAGCTTGGGCGGCACATGTTTGCTGGTGATGCTGTAAGTCAACTTAATGCCCGCCGCCTTCTGAGGTGAGCAGCTGCGATAGAACATAGACAACGGCAGATAGGCGCTTTGCTGGATGACACGCGGAATGCCCTGGAAAAGCAGCCAGAGCTTAGTCCCAGCGCATTTAGGTGTATACAGTTTTGAACCTACCCGTGGACTGACAAATGAAGCAAACACCTCGACACGTGTGCTGTGCACATGCAGCAGTTCCCCCATGTAAAAGTCCAGCGATATATCCCGTGTATTGCCCGGTGCCACATTCATAAGGCTGAGCGTCTCCTGGCTGCAGCGTACACCATTTGGCGTTTGTATAACCAACTGCAGTTCCGCCAGCTCCGCTTTGACTTTGATCTTTAACTGGCCTTTGGCCGAAGGCAGCTCCTTGACCGCCACATCGGCGGGTACATCGAGCAGCAATGTGTCCAAATCATCGAATATCTCCTGCTGTATGCTGAAGCTCAAACGCACCTGATCCACGGCTTGCTGATTGAGGGCGTCCATGTCGCGTATATCGACAGACTCCTTGATCTCATCCTCCAGCTGCTGCAGTTGCTTATGCGCCTGGGCAAAGCTCAGCTCCTCAACGTTTAGTGGATTTACCTGAAACTGATATGGCTGTGCACCCAAATAGCCCACATTCAGTTGTCCAGTGGCCGTTAGGGTGACAATGCTCCCAGCTATATTCTGGACATTGGAACGCTGTATGGCAACAGGCGCCGACTCCTGCCACTGAGCTGCCCAAATAATGTTCGCCTCTTCGTATATATGCAGCTTTCCGGCATCAGAAACAATGGCCGTTATCAAACGGGCACCTGGCTCTAAATTTATGTACATTGATAGCACAAGGTAGATAGGGAATCAGCAGCCATGATATTCGGAGGTGTCCCTTAAATGACTTGATTACTTACCAAAATAATAGCCCACCACAAAGCTGAAGAAGCACTTGGGCGCATAGTCAAGCTTGAGTATAAAATTGAACTTGCCATTGTCATCCAAGCAGATGAAATTGCGCTCGCCCAGAATCATAATGTAGGAGCAGCTTCTAAAGGATTTAACGAATAATTGTAAGCTGTAACTATTGTTGGCCAGATCGACTTACTCTTTCAGCTGCACAACACGCATATCAAGGATGCCCTCGCCAATGCCCTGCGACCAGATGGGCTGATAGCTGCTCTTGGTGACCAGCGAGTGGGATAGATCCTGATACGTATAGCACTGCAGATGCCAGGTGGCATTTAATCGGAAAAAGCTATCGGTGCGCTGGCAATAAACCACCGGAGCGGGCAGACAGCGCTGTCCGGGAAAGCGGCACTCGTAACTAATGCCATCCTGCTCATAGAACGTCAGTGTGCCATCCAAATGCACCACACAAAAGAACTCCCGACCCTTCACTTGACCAAAGTGGCCCTGGCACATGGAGAAGGCGACACGCTGAAACTTGTGCTCCGCCTGCAGTTGCAACTTTAACTGGGCGCCATATTCGGCCAATCCACTCAGCGCCTGTACATTGTAGATGACAATGGCATTGGGCAGAAGCACGCCCAGTTGATTCACATTCTCGTTGCGCACATTGCTGCAGTTAATCAGTGGATTAATTCTCACAAAGGTCCAACACACTGCAGTTGAATTACCCGCTAAACTTTCCCGCATGGAGTCCTATGATGGGAGCTGCCAGTTGCGTCTCCAGCAGCAGGTCTGTGGCATCAAATCCATTGGCATGCGGATAGTAAATGCTCAGCTGTCCGGACTGTGAGCCAACTACGATATAATCCTTCTCCTGTGCCTCGAGACCAAAACGAGCACACAACAAACTGGCCACATCATATTCGCCTGCGATGTCGCCACATTGCACTGACCACCAGCTGCACACGTTGAACAACGACATGATTGCAAACTGTGACTGCCTCGAAAAGGATTTGGATAACACGGTTCGTTTTGTTGTGCATAAAATTGGTTACCATGGCAATATGTCGTACCATGGCAGGTCGCAATGAACAGCAAAATCATTCCGTTATAAGGGTGGAATAGCAGTTCCCCAGACCCGATCATGCTTTAGACTAGACTAGTTGACAGACTTACCGGAAATAGAGTTCCACTTAAACCATAATAATAAACACATTCGTTATAATTATAATACTTTTCTTTTTGTTTATCATTAACTATATCATGTTATATAGGTATTTACGTATCATAAAAGTTAAATAGGTTAAGTTATATATATATATATATATATATATTTGAAGTATATGTCTATGTCTATAAGCTAGGGGATAGCTTAAGGAATTAGATTTACAAATTTGTGTTTCAAAGTGTTTGGCTAAATATACATCAATAATGAATACAACTATGAACTAGTTTATATAATTACAACTAATAACAGCCTTAAGCTGTTTATGTGTGTGCTCTGTGTGTGTGTGTTTCTGTGCCACGCCCTTCACACAACATCGTCATTCAAATCTCGCTCAGGATGCTGCAGCAGGCGAAAGAGGAGCCGCTCATGGCTGTAAAACCAATCGAAACAAAAGGATTTTAAGTACAATTTATGCAATGATTGAGATTAGTTGACTGACTGACTGATTGGTTGATCGATTGAATTGATTTGATTGATTGATTGATTGATTGATTGGCGGACACATTGAACAATGATAAATGAGAAGCATCAATAATTTTGTTGTGTCACAGATTTGGATCGAAATTGCTGGCTTCTAACAGATGAGCCGGTGTAATTGTAGCGACGATGCATTTGGTTGTGGTTGTTGAGGTGCTTGTAATTGTGCATTCGGCGCATTCGGTGCATTCTGTGGGATTGGTGGTTGTTGTTGTGGTGGTTTTGGTGTGAATGTTGGTGTTGGTATTGGTATTGGTATTGGTATTGGTTGTGATGCAGCGCCGATTGCGTGGCCGTACGCCGGCTTTGGGGCGATGATTCGCTAAATGTTATTCTTTCTCGCTTCTGATCATGATCTTTTTCTTCACCAGCGTTCGTACCTGTTGCGTCGTTGGTTGCTGCTGCTGTTGCACGACTCCAACCTGCTGCTGCTGTTGTTGCTGCTGCTGTTGCTGCAGACTGGCAACAGTCGGCAGCGTTGCTGTCGTCTGTGTTATTGTCATTACTTCAGCCGGTCCCGCTGTGGGTCCAGCAATGTTTGTGTGTTGTTGTTGCTGTTGTTGTTGCTGTTGCTGCTGCTGCTGCTGCTGCTGCTGTTGCTGCACCACAGCTAACAAGTTGCCACCGGCTGTGGTCTGCAGTCGCACGGGGCTGGCATTTTGCCGTTGAGTATGCTGCAGCGCCGCAATTAAAGTCTGCTGCGTGGTCTGACCACCGCCAGAGGTGGCCACCTTCAAGGCGCTGGCTATGTTCTGACCGGTTCGTAGATTGCCAGCAGCCAAGGCCTGTGCCGAAGCAGCCGAAACCACCTAAAAAACATTAAAACGATTAAAGCTTGACTAAACTAGCAGACCTAATTGCAACATGTCGAATCAGCTGTCCGGACACTCACCTGTATGGTCTGACGCTGTGTGGCCTGCGATGCCACCGAAACGGGTATGACACGTCCGACACTTGTCTTGCCTAGCACAAGACCCGCTGGCTGACCGCTGCGCACCACTTGCTGCAATTGTTGCACTGTTACAGCTTTAGTGTTTTGTATATGCAACAGTTGTGCCTGCAAACTGCCACCACCAGCTGTTGTCTTCTGTTGCTGCTGCTGCTGTTGTTGTTGTTGTGCTGCCGCCGAAAGGGTAACACCGCCTGCCACCGTCTGTTGCTGCTGGCCGGGTCCTGTCGTTGTGGTCACAATATTGGCAGCCGTGTTCTGCCCAGACGCACTCACCAGCTGAGTCATGCGACTGATTTTCCGCGGCATTCCCAGCTGTTGTTGCATTTGCAGGTGTCGCATTTGATTTGGCATCGTCACCTTAATCTGACTGCCCGGCTTGAGTTGTGGCAGTGTCATGTTCACGCTGCCCGCCTGCACTGTGGGCGGACCCGTCGCTGACACTGTCACGCCACCGGCGCTAACGCTGCTGCCACTGGCTGCTGCCGCCGTGGACGCCTTAACGAGCGAGGCAATCTGTTGCTGGGTTACCTGTTGCGTCTGTTGTTGCACAACACCAGCAACAGGCAACTGTTGTTGTTGTTGTTGCTGCTGCTGCTGTTGTTGTTGCTGCTGGGCGACAACGCTGCTGCTACTGGTGGTTGTGGTAAACAGCGGCCCAGTGGCCTGCTGTGCTTTCTGAGCGGCCAGTATGTTGTGTCGCTTGACCAGCAGCATATCACCAGTTGCACCACTGCCGCCGCTGCCATCAGTGGTGATCATCTGGCGCTGCACTCCCTGCTTTCCGACTGCCATTTGCTTGATGAACTGCGTCCGTGCCTGGCCATGCATTTGAACCGAGCTAACCACATTGCCCGCCTGCACGGTGGTGGCGCCCGGCATGCCAGAGACCGCCACTTTCTGGCTGGTCACATGCGTGGGTGTCTGCATGAGATTGCTCGCTTGGATTATAGTGCCGGTGGCTAAAGCGCCGCCAGCCGTTTGCACCACAGTCGGATTCAGATTAGCCGTGCCGCCACCAACGACGCCTCCCTGTGCCACTTGAGGTGCCTGCAACACTTTCAGATTGCGCTGTCTATACAGTTGAATGTGCGGCGTCTGCTGCTGAGTGCCGGGCAGCACCGTTTTGCCGGTCTGCTGCAGTGCGGTGACAGGTATACCCTTAGTGGTGACCAATTGGGTGGTTTGTGTTGCGGGTGAGCCAGAAACGGCAGACAGACGCAACTGTGCTTGAAAATGTGCATTTGCCACACTCTGCCCTAGGGAGACAATGGGTTGACCGATGGCTGTGGTGCGCTGCTGCAACACCACATCGTGCAGCGTCGTATTACCCGCAGCAGATGCTGCAGCAGCCGAAACGAGACGCTGGCCACGCAACATCGTCACGGTGCCCGTTGCCGTCTGCTGCTGCTGCTGTTGTTGTCCACCACTGGTCGTAGTGGTCAGCGGTCCAACGGAAACAACTTGCGGCAGTGTTTGGGTCTGCACAATGCTACCCAACTGCGGTGGCGTATTCACTGGCAGCGTCGACTGCGACGATATGGAAACTATTTGGGCTGTTGAGTTGGCATTCACATTGCTGTGCGTGGCGATGGGCAGTGATTGGACCGGCGTGGTGAGCACCACACTAACACTGGACTGGCTGCCTGGCGGTGCTGCCTGTAACTGCACCGTGCCGCCCGCATTAGCTGAACTTTGCTGCGCCAGCTGATGCAGCTGGCCCGCTGTCAGATTTGCTGTCGTGCCCACAATGGTCTTAACAAGCTGTTGTGTTGTGGTCTGTGTCCGCAGCTGTTGTTGCTGTTGTGGCTGATGCAGCAGTATTGCTGTTTGCTGCGTTGTCGCCACATTAGCGCTAGTCAAATGTTGTATCTGCAATTGTTGCAGTTGACCCGTATTGCCAGCGGGTACAGAAACAGTTGTTGCTGTTGTTGTGGGCATTAAATCAACTGTTTGCTGCACAGCGGCAACTGTTGGCAGTTGCTGCTGTTGCTGCTGCAACTGTTGTTGCTGTTGCTGATGGACCTGCTGTTGTTGCTGCATTTGTTGTTGTTGTTGCTGCTGCTGTTGTTGCTGTTGCTGCTGTTGCACTGGTTGCTGCTGCTGCTGTTGCTGCTGCACTGACTGTTGCTGAACTGGCTGCTGCTGCTGCTGTTGTTGTTGTTGGTGTTGTTGCTGCTGCTGTTGTTGCTGCATTGGTGGCATCTGGCTGCGCTGCTTTTCACGCATTTTGTTTGCCTTCATCACGGCTATATTCATGGGCGATACGGGCTGATCGTAGTTGTTAATGCCGAACTCTTGCAACACCTCCATATGCTTGGGATTCATCAGACTGGGCGCATTGTACTGGCGCTTTGGAGGCGGCGCCTTCTTCAAATAGGCCGTCTTGATGGTGTCGAAGCGCATGCGCATCACCTTATAGAAGGAGGCATTGTTATCGCTGGCATAGAGCTGGGTGGTGCGCAAGTAGCGCAACGGACTCTTCATATACTCCGTGCGCAACGTGGGCTTCAGTTTCTTTTGTTTCTTGGGACTCTCCACCACTTTGCCTTCCTCGCGCGGCTGGATGTGCGTCTCGTAGCGCCAGCGACATTGCCTCGCCGAACGATACGTTTTCGAACAGAAGTTGACCAGCTCCGAGACCAAATCCCAATTGGGCGTCTGACCAGGCGAGAGGAGCATCAGGCTGCACGGCAACCCCTGCAAATTGATCAGCACATGCAGTATAGCCATTTCCTCAGACACACACCACTCGCTCATCGCCTCCGGCTCGGTCATCGGCTTGGCCGGCAACTGTGGCTTCAGGCCCGGTATCATCGAATTGGGCTTAAAACTGCCTCGGAAACGTTGATTCTTCAGCTCGCGCCGCAGCCGCGCCAACTGCGCCGTTGGACGATCGAACAGTGAACGTGGCGGCACATAGTTATCCTCGCGTCGCATCTTATTCGGACGACGACTGCCATCGAAGCCGGCATCGGTGCGGGATCGCTTGAGCTCACGTCGCACATAGACGGGCGGCAGTTCCGTTTCGGGTATCGGCTCCAGATCGTACATGAACGACAGCGAGTGATCAATGTAAATATCATTGTTATCCTGCGGCGGCGTTGGCGGGCACCACATCTATCATAAATAAATAAATAAATACCAATCGATACTCTTATTCGGTTCGGAGTGATAGTTGGGACTTGAACTGAATTCGATTTACTTACCGGCATTTGTTCCATACTATTGCGCGATATCCAGACCTGAGAGTATATTCGTGTGCGTGCGTGCGTGTGTGTGGGCCGAGCAAAGTTAAAGAAAAGAATAAACGTAGCATATTACATTATTTTCGTATCGTATGAAGAATCTCTGTTTTGGTGGTGTTGTTCATTGGCTTAGTAACTAACTAACTAACGAACGAACTATCGTATCGATTGCATCTATGTGGATTATTTATAAATTGGCGTTGTAGCTTTTTCTTTATAACCGGAACCATTTCGTACGGCGCTTAAGAACAATTGGCAAAGTCTATCGATAAACTGTTGCAGTCTTTTATTTTATTTTACTTTGTTTTTTTATTATTATATTTAGCGTCACCAAAACAGAATTCTACATTCGTTAACACAGAAAATAATATGATTGAATCTTTACTGATTTCCGGTTATTCTTTTCCAACTTTGTGCAATTGTCTTCTATAAGGATATGTCTTTTAAATACACACGCACGAAATATGTCCGTATAAATAAAAACCACAACGTCTTAGTTTCTTTTTTTTATATCTTTTTTGAAAGCATATCGAATCGATTCTTGCGTTTTATTTGTTAGTCAATCTATGCTTATAGTCTTTAGATTGTTGTTTTGTTAATGCTAAACTTGTTTTATGATATTTTTATGTGTTTTTTTCTTTTTGAGAATACAAAATAAATGATCGAATGCAAAAATATGAACATTTACCATACAGTTAAAAAGTTACCTAAGGAGATACTTATCAACTAAGGCGCAATAGTCGTGGAGAGTGTTTCTTTGAAGACTTAGAGAACAGAATTTTTTAACAACGAAATTAATGATAATACAAGGAGTTTTTGTAGTTACTTTGTTTTAAAGATAACACAGCTTACATAATACAAAATCTATAATCTATATTCTATTGATATTTTGTTAATGTTTTTTATATACAATCTGGGTTCGTGTTTCTTGTTAAATATCTTATGCATTTTGGGGACAACAGCAATCACAGTGCCACATAAATTAAATAATCTTTTAGCAAAATATCAATATTGTGTGGCATAGAGCCTGCCAAGCAGTCTATGAGACCCTCAAGTTACAAGGACACTTAAAGTCTGTCACAGTTCTTCCTGGTCACACAACACTTTAAGCAATTATCGTTGTTGCCCCCTTATCTATCTATATGCTAAACACAATTTGTTATCCTAGATTCTAAACCCAATTCTCTTTGCCTGACAGTGCGAAGACTTCGGTTTTATGTCGCCACCTAACTAGCTTAGAAGGAAACTTGTTACAGTCTATTATAAAATGCTCATCAATTAAACATTAAAGTTGTACAGCAGCTTCACAGACACTCACACAACAACAGCAAATATTAGGTGTATGCGTATGCGCGTGTGTCTGTGTGTGTGTAACAATTAAATTAGGCCAATTTGGACGCCCACTAAAAACCACAGAGCGCACACAGCTCCAGAGCTCCTCACAGCTTCAGCGCACAGGTTTGTCGGCGACTCTTTTTTTTCTTTTAGATATAGGTAATACTGTGACGTGATACTCTGAACTCAATTATCACCTGTTGTTGCTGCTGGCACCATTCGAATGGGCACCAGACGTGGCATGGGCTACGCCTACTCCTCCACCTGCTGCAGCGGCGGCAGCAGCTGTTGCTATATTACTGGAGCGTAGACGCACACGCGGCGTTTTGGTTATCCAGCGATTCAGCAGTGTCAATGCTTGCCCCTCGTCTTTTTTGAGAGGACGCCTGCTTGTGTTTGTGCCACCAGCCTGTGACCGTGCAGCTGTTAGCTGCTTTGTCTCTTGAGCAGCTGGTGGCGCCGCTCGCTCTCTCTTTGCATTTCTGCCAGCACCGCCGCTGGCTTTTGGTGTGCTCAACACAGGACTCACATCCAGTGTCCACAGATTGATCTTTACGGAGCCGCGTGATCGAGTGCGTGGCGTGTGTCCAATGGCATCGTCGCTGCCACCACCGCCACCGCGGCTGCTGCTGTTGCTGCTACGTTGGCGTTGCAAGACAGGCGTCGATTCCTTGGCATCTGTCGTTTTGTTGGGTTCGGCCTTGGACAGCGACAGCGGATCATTGGGATCATCGGTGTCCGATTCTTCGGATACATTGTAATATGTGGAACTTGTCATCGTGGTATCTTGCACTTGATCGTGTGCATTCCAGCCATCCAAACTGCCGCCAGCTGTGGCATAGCTCGAACAGGACTGCATCTCCACGTTAACATCGGCATCCGAATCGACATTGTCAGCCTCAGCCTCGTCATCATCATTGTCGACATTGTCATCACCATCATCATCAAGCATTTCCACATGCATTTCTTCATCATCATCAGTCTGAGTTGCATCCTCCTGAACAGAGGCAGACGCAGAGGCTGAGGCAGAGCCTGAATTTGAGCCAGAGGCAGCAGTTTCCTCCCCCTCGTCCTCCTCCTCCTCGTCCACACAAACCGATGCACTCTCATCATCATCATTCTGATCTTCATTCTCAATCTCATTATCTTCATCTTCTTCATCATCATTATCGTTATCATCCTCATCATCGCTAGCATCGCTCTTGGCAAGCTCCTTTAGAGCCAACGGCGACGATATCGTCGCTCGCCGCTCAAGCAGCTTTCGCCGCGTGACCGCAGCTGTCGTCAAGGAGACGCTTTCCCTGCGACGCGACTGTATCTTACCCCCCTTGGCTGAGGAAGGAGCTGCTGCTGCTGCTACCGCTGTTGTTTTCACTGGCGTCGTCTTCATCATCTTGCTCATAGCTATACTGGCCGACTGACGCTTGGGTCGCTGCTCTTCCGTTGTCGGCTGAGCTGAGCTGCTGCTGGCTGCTGCTGCTGCCATTGCTGTGCGCGTTGTCTTTCTAGTGGGCGCCGTCGCCGTTGCTGTGGCTGTGCTTGGTTCGACGGCTATGCCCAGCGAATGTAGGCGCGTCTGCCAAATTCTATTGTTACTATTGCTATTGCTGTTGTTGTTGCTACTGTTGCAGCTGCTTCTAGTCGGTGCACTCACATTGAGGCTATTTCGATGCGAGCTCACCGAACTAGCCGCTGCCGCAGCCTGTTGCACATTTGATCTTTGCCTGTTGTTGTTGCTGGTAACGCTTCGACTTAACCCACCGGCGGTTGCCGCTGCCCGACCTACCCCATGATGTCTGAATCTTTTATCCCGCTTATTGTGTTTGGTTAACCTAACGCCTAGCCCAACACCTGGTGTTCGTTTGCTTAGATTGGAATCTTGTTTGGTGGTATTAACCTGATTGCTGGCATCCTTGCGACTGTAGGTGAGCAGCTCTTCCGCCTCCGTTTCCTGCTTGAGTAGCTGCTCCTCCTTCTGCATGGCCGCCAACCGATTCGCCTCCCATTCACGTTTCTGCTGCTCCAGTTCCGCCTCGGCGGCGCGCAGCTGCTCAGCTGTCCACGCGGCTCCCGTCTCCTCCACAAAGCGCATCGCATATCGCTCAATGGGCGAGAGCTAGATGTAATGTGATTGGGAATGGGGAAACAATATCCATTAGAGCTATATATTATGTGATTATCTTGATGATTATGTCAGACGTTGAGTGATATAATCGAGCGTGGGTTGAATCGATTCGACTATGTCTGAACGTCTACTTCGAAGTTGAAGTTTATCTGGGCAGCGCACGCTTGATTAAAAGATCACTGGGGGAGCTCATTTAATGCACAATTGAAGCAAGCGCTGCCCATATTCACAGATGCACATATTAACAAGATCAATTCAGCGCTTACCTGCTTGACAAGATTTTGCATTTCCAGATCGGCTTTGCTGAGCTCAATGGCCACCGCACCACCTGCATCTGCATTGGCATCATCCGCAATGGGTATGTTCTCATCGAACTCGGCCAGATCGGCGGCTGCCTCAGCCTTGGCCGTTTTTGTGGCTTGCACATCCTGCTCGTCCTCGGCAGCAGCGAGTGCGTGCTCGAAGGCGCGCAGTGATTGCTTCTCTGCTTCGATAGCCGGCTCAACTTCAGCTGCGATAATCTTGTCCTTATCATCCGGCTTATCTTGACTATCGTCCTGCTCTGCCTGTGCCGTATCCATAGTGAACAGATCCTTGATGGTGGAGCTCTTGAAGAAGGTGGTCGTAAAGTTGCCACCCTCGATGGCCATATCACTGAGCATCCGCTTCTGGTTGGCCTTCTTCAGTATGTTCACCTCAATGGTTTTCTCTGAGACCAATCGATATATGTGCACATCTCGCGTTTGCCCAATGCGATGGCACCGATCCTGCGCCTGCGCGTCCATCGTTGGATTCCAGTCCGAGTCATAGAAGATCACAGTATCAGCGCCGGTCAAATTGATGCCCACGCCGCCAGACCGTGTCGATAGAATGAAGCAAAAGATGCGCTTGTCCCCATTGAAACGTTCCATGAGTATTTGTCGCTGCTCGACACGCGTCGAGCCATCCAGTCGCAGGTAAATGTGTCCGTGATAATTGAGGAATGCCTCCAGTACGTCCAGCATTTTGGTCATTTGGGTGAAGATCAGCACACGATGCCCGTCAACCTTCAGCTGTCGCAATAGACGATCCATTGTCTGCAGCTTACCGCAATCGTATTGGATGAGACGCGGATCGGGAAACTGCGTCGTCATCGCCGAGATAATCGGATGCAGCAGCGTCAGCTTGGGCGACACGGTCTGCGCAATCGTCTCCTCAATCTGCCGTTCATTCTGCCAATGCGTCGACGATAAGTTCTGCACATAGCGACGAATTCGTGGCGCACACACCGACGGCACATAAATCACAAAATTGGCAAAGATGGGCGCCAGTTCGAGGCAGCGCTGCTCATAGTTCTTTAGCAGGAGATTCAGGGACCAGTTGTCGTTGTGCTGCCGCATCGCAATCGAACAGTTCGCATAGCCACGCGTTTGCCATGTGGAATGCTTCAGGGTGCGCGTGGACTGCATGCAACGCTCAATCGTCTGTCGGCAATCGGCGCCATAAATGGGCGTGGCATCGGTGCGTCTGCGATTGATGACAGCCATCCTTTTGAGCGATGCCAAACGCTGCTCCTTGCGCATTTGAATGAGCTGCTGCACTCGATACGGATCCTCGACTACCTCGGGCGTTGACGATGACCTCTCCTCCTCCTGGCCCTTGCCATTCGTTTGCCTTTGTGACGTCAACTTGACATGCGTGGCCAGATCCTTGACAATAGGCTCCTTGCTCAACTGCTGCAGCTGTGCTGAATTCCCACTCGTTACGTTTGTGGATCCTCCTACAGGTGTACTCGCCGCCGCCGCCGCTGCTGTTTTGCTGGTTAGCGTGAGTCGCGCTCCAGCGCCACCGGCATTTGTTGCTGGCGCCAGATAGAAGAATGGTTTACCATCCTGCATTGTCTTGGCCACCTTGGCTGGCGTTGGCGCGCTAATTGGTGAGCGTGAGCTCATCAGCTTGGAGCTGCTGCTGCTCAGCATATTTAATGCACCACCTGCACTGCTGTTGCTGCCAGTCGCTGCCGTCGTTGTCATAAGGCTATTGATAATCACTGGCTTGAGGGCCATGTTAATGGGATTGATGGTACCGCTGACACGTTTCAGTACATGGCCACTGGGCAACAGGCTGCGCATGGGCACAATTTTGCTGCCTTCCAGCCGCATGGCCGGACTGGCGCCCACACGCACCGCCTGCAGCTTAATCCGCTGCGCCAGCTCAGCGCTCCGCACGCGTATGTGAAAACGATATTTGCCATTCGGGCAGCGCGGCGGCGGTTGTGGTGCACTGTCGATCTCCTCGATCAATTTGCGTGGCGGCGACAGCAGACGCGACTTATGCGAGACGTAGGCGGTCAGCGTTTGCTCCAGATGCAACAGCAGCATGTTCACAGTCTCCAAATTAATTTGCTGCGGGGCGAAAAAAACAACACAAGCAGAAAATTAGGTAATTTTGCTATTATTGACGCAAAACTTTAAATGATTTGATAAGATCAGGCAAATGCCTCGCAACAGCGAACATCCTTTAAGAATCGCAACTCTCTCCAAAATAGATTGAGTCGCAATATTCAGTGACAGTTTATCATCATCTCACATTCTATCTGTATCTGTATTTCTGTGGTCAGCAGCCACAAACTCACCGTGAACGGATCATACTCCAGGATGTTGCTGACCAGTCGCGGCGTGTGAAATGTAATTCCCTCCATTTGAAACGGTGATATCGTTGGACGCACCTCAAACATATTTGGATGATTGCACACCTTGCGCAACTGCATCAGCACATTGATCACGCTCAGCAAATTACCGGTTTGCAATGTTTCGCGGGTTCTAAAAACGAGACAATAGCTTATTAAAGCGTTCACTATTTTTATAATGGTTGTAAAACTCACTTGGAACGGCTCATGAAATCTTCGTACAGATAACGCTGACGATTGGACAAGCGGCACATGACAACATGCTCGTATTTCTTTGGCATCTGCTTCTCCACCTCCTTTTTAAGGCGTCGCAGCAAAAATGGACGAATGACCTATGTAAATAAAAACAATAATTGATTAACACGATTGCTCAAATTAAAACAACATCAAAATGCATATAAATAAGGAGTGTAAAGCGCGTATTCAATGTGATAATTTTGAAAGGACACGATCACATGGATAAGTCGCAGCTTTAGATTTAGTTTAGCAAGTTAACAAATTGTCATCACATGTGGTTGTTATTGAAAATCAATGTGACACAGAGTGCACTTGCAGCAAAGGATTTGAGGATAAGATCTATAAGCGAGTGTAAAGCCCGTATTCAATGTGATCAATTTGATTTTATTGCATGAACACATGGATAAGTCGCAGCTTTAGTTTAGTTTAGCAAGTTTACAAATTGTCTTCACATGAGGATTCAATGTGACACAGAGTGCGCTTGCAGGAAGGTGTAATTGGGGATCTAGAGACTTTAGCAAGCTTGTGCGAGATGTAAATAGAAATAATGCATTAATTGGCATCAATTCATTTGCAACCTCAGCATTTGTTCTAGCACACAGCTACGATTTTCAGGAGCGTTTAAAAAGCTATCGAGAAAACGCTTTTAGGTGCTATTTCATGTCTTAAACTTGGTCTGGAAATTCTGTTCTCAGCGTTATGGACTTTCAATATTAATTACTCAAAAAGTCACTTGCAACTTAGATTTAATCTGGCACACAGCTACGATTTTCAAGAGCATTAAGTTGGCCTACAAGAAAACGCTTTTAGGTGCTATTTCATATCTTAAACTTGGTCTGGAAATTCTGTTCCCAGCGTTATGGACTTTCAATATTAAAAACTCAAAAAGTCACTTGCAACTTAGATTTAATCTGGCACACAGCTACGATTTTCAAGAGCATTAAGTTGACCTACAAGAAAACGCTTTTAGGTGCCACCCTCAACACAAACACGCATCAATTATATTTACCTTATGTAAGCGCGTTATTAACGTTTCATTGTACTCCATGTTGCCTTCGATCATACCAGTCATTGGATTTGAGAACCACTCCTTAAACTCGCGATGCGAGGAGAACACATACGGCATGAGGAAGTGCATCAGCGACCAGAGCTCCATCAGATCGTTCTGCAGCGGCGTTCCAGTTAATAGTAAACGTCTGGTGTAATATAATAGAGAGAATATAATATAAAATAAGTTTTTCGCCTTTGGATTAGAGAATAAGATTAAGTAAACAACAAAGAACAAAAGTTAATATTAAAACAAACAAAAAAAATAAACAAAAATAGTGTCTCAAAACAAGGCCACAAGCATGCTATTGGTTGGGTTAGTATGCTCTTTATATAATATACGGCATTATAGCGGTAATTAATGTTAGCACCCAAGCGTAGTCGCCAAGCTAGTTTAGCAGTCGCTTGGTTACTGATTTTGGTGCTTGCGCAAATTGCAATAACAAATAATTAAATATTTTAATTATAGTTAATATTTATCCATTTACTGACCTTTCGGTGGAAAAGTTGAGTAGCAGCTGCCAACGCTGTGACTTGAAGTTTTTAATGTTTTGGGCCTCGTCTAGGATGAGATATTTCCATTTTTTTCGACGAAAACTTTGCTGATCCTGAACAACCAGCTTGTAGGAGGTGATGCAGACGTGAAACGCATTTGGTTTTGTCCAGCCGACGCGCTTGAGCTTGCGCTCCTTCTGTGTGCCATAGTAGGTGAGGATCTTGAAGCCGGGGCACCATTTCTTGAATTCCATCTCCCAGTTAAGCATCACAGATGAGGGTACCACAATCAAATGTGGACCCCAGTTGCCCTTAGCGCAGGCCAAGTGCGCCAGCAACGCTATCGTTTGTATAGTCTTGCCCAGGCCCATCTCGTCGGCAAGGATGCCGTTTAGTTTGCGCTCGTTCATCGTGACCAGCCAATCGAGACCGATGTGCTGATACTCACGCAGCGTATGCTTCAGCAGGAAGGGCACAGGTGTCACCACATTCGTTGAGGACAGCGTGTTGCCTTTGGGCTGCAGACTTTCGGCTAATGCCGCCGCATCCTTCAACATGTCGTCCTTGTTGTCTTTGCTGCCTGCAGCAGCAGCGCCCGCAGCTCCACAGCTGGAACCATCGGCATCGGTTAGCAGGCTCTTTAGGCCACCCTCCTGTTCTGCCTCGTCCAGGTCAGTATCAGTCTTGATGGTAGAGAGTTCCTCATCCTCTTCGTCGCTGGCTTCCACATCGCTGTCATCGGTTGAATCCTCAACCACTGTTGAATCATCATCCGAGTCCAGCTCCGAGGTCTCCACCGCTATTTTTCGCCTCTTTGCACTAGGTTGTTCATCAATTTTACCAGATTTGTATTTCTCCAGGAGCTGCTCAACGGTCAAATCATTGTCTGCCTCCAGTTCATCTATCTCCTTTTGATGATCAATTTCCTGCTCCGCCTCCTCCTGTTTACTGATGGTGTTCTCATCATCATCGCTGGCTTCCTTGGCCTGAAATTCGCTATCATCGCTGTCGTCACCACCAACAGAGGAATCAGCGCCTTTCGTTGAGCTCTGCTCCTCGAGCATCAGCTTATCACGATTCTCCAAGTAGCCAGGTGGCAAATCATTGAGAAAATCATCAAAGTCCATTTCGGATTCTTTGGCCAACGCTTTGACCTCCTCATTGACATCGGCTGCCTCCTCCTCGGCCTTGGCAATCGTCTCCTCGTCATCCTCTGAGCCTGACTCTGGCTTAAACTCATCTGCCGAAGAAATTGTAGATTCACAGTTTAACTCAAATTTTGTAAAGATCAATGCTAAGTAGAGTGCAGTTTTTAGCGCATCAGACAAATGCCTCGCAAATGCGACCATCCCTTATTAACATCGTAGTGTTCAAAAATAGACCAAAACAACGTTTCAGTATGAAAGTCTCATCAGGTGCTTGTTTTAGTAGGTTTGAGTAGAGTTTCGTTTCTTCTGCTACAACAATTTAAGTACCTTAATCTCGAATTAAGTAAATTAAATCTTACATCAGAGTCAAAAATAACCCAGTCAAACAATTATTATCAAATTCACAAGCTTAACTCACCATCTGACTCCCGTTTGGGTGATGTAAGGCGACTCGAGTCTAAGCTGGGCGTTTCGGCCACATTCTTGTTCATGCCCTCGGCCAGTTGCTGCGAGAACTTCTCCGTCTGATCGACTATAAAGCTGAGATGTTGATCGAGCGCCTGTTTGCGTTTCTCCTCGATTTTGGTTTGATGCTTATACTCGACCAGTTTCTCCACATTTGACCAGAAGCTTTTCACCTCGCGAGCTATGAAGGAGGCGACACGTTTTAGATGCAACTCTTGAGCTTTCTCGGCACGCTGCGCCGCATTGGCCTTGTCCTGGAAATACTTTTGCACCATTTTGGCGCATTTCTTGGCCGCGTTCTTTTTCCATTTGCGCTCCTGTGCAAAATCAGCTGCCAGCCAGACCATCTCGTCCAACAGATAGTCCCAGTGCGCCTTGGGGCGACTGGGCTCCTGTAACTTGGGCAAACGCCGTTCAGTCCATAATCCCTCTCGCTGTAGTTCAGATATACGCTGCATTACGTACACCTCCTGTTTGGCCTTAAACGAAAACTCCTGCGCACTGTTTGGCGTGCAAGTGTTTGCAAGTGGACTCAATAAATTTCCACTGCTGCCGCCGCCAGGCGTGCTGGGCGTCAGGCCACCAACGCTCGCAGTCGCAGCCGAAGTAATACCGTTTCCACCGCCAGTGTACAGCGGCATTGGTGTTGCAGTGCCACTTGCCACCGATGCTGTGGTTGCACCCGCACCCGCAGCAGCTGCAGTTGCAGTTGCTCCGCTCGTCGCAGCATTCTGCTGTTGTGAGTTTGGGCGACGCAACGACGTTGAGCCCACGGGGCTATTGCAGGGCACCAGCGGCGTGCCACCTTTTGGGAAAAGAAGCAATGCGAAAAGTTAGTCACGAATCGAAAAAGCAGATATTATGGAAAGCTCTTAGCCAACTTGCATGCTGGAAAAGTGCATCATCAATCACACACTACCATATTGAAGCAACAATAGTTATAAGGAAAAGAAAAAAACAACGTTCAAATCAATCAATCAATCAATTAATTGAACCATATTAGTTGCGAATTAGTAAGTGTATTAAATATAGTAGGTAATTCAAATGTTCGAGAAAAAAAAGAACGAAGTAAGGTAAAACTAAAATAGGCAAAGATCTATGTCAAACGGGCATGCAAAAGTTGAAGCTCTAAACTTCATCTCGTTACACCTAGCAATCCTGACAAGTGTACTTTAAAAAGTGTTGAGCGCGTTTTCCACGAAATGATCAGTTTTCATTTGAAGTTCACTTTAGCTAGGTGGTTTCAATTGTCAACACATGTCAATATTAATTCAAGGCTCTTGCTGAAGAGCTCTACTACTTTGTATATTTTGTGTAATACGATTGTGCGTGGTGTAAATAGAAATAATGCAATAATTGGCATCAATTCATTTGCAACCGCAGCATTTATTCTAGCACACAGCTACGATTTTCAGGAGCGTTTAAAAAGCTATCAAGAAAACGCTTTTAGGTGCTTCAACTCAATATCATAAACTTAATCTGGAAATGTACTCAGCGTTATGGACTTTTATTTAGAAATACAAAAAGTCACTTGCAACTTAGATTTAATCTGGCACACAGCTACGATTTTCAAGAGCATTGAATTGGCCTACAAGAAAACGCTTTTAGGTGCTGCAAATCGATGTAAAATAAACGCAAGTCAAAGATGCATAAAGACAGAATTACATTACATTTCGGCATGCCGAACCTTTAAGTGAATGTAGGAGTGAGAAGTATGTTTCCTTAATTATTAAAATCATTGTATCCATATAGTAACAAAGTACTGATTAAAAACAGAGATCAAAGCTAATCTATGCATAATTTTGCTAATAGAACCAATAACTATATTTGTACATTCAATTTAATTGGAAAGTTGAAAAATCAAAGTATCTTTAAGCATTTTATCAATAAAAATATAATCACCAATTCTAGATAACTGAAAATTACAATTCTTTGATATATATATAATAATAATAATATATATATATAATAATTTAGGCACATCGAATGTATAGAAATATAGAAGTATAGTAAAAGTCAAATGCACTACGCTTTTAATTTGCGGCAACAACAAAATCAAAATGGTGAAAATGCTTCAATATTCAAAAACCACACAAAGTATAGAGAAAAAACGTAGACGACTTATTAAAAATGAAAATGAGATTTTTTTCTTTGATTATTTTTGGTTTGTTTTTGTTTTTAATTTGTTGCGAACGATAAGCACCTGGCACCAAAGGTACAGAAGAATTTCCTACGGCAGGAGGCGCGGGTATTTGACCGAAGACCATACCGTGACGACCTCCTAGAGGTCTACCGGGTATGTGACCTATATAATAACGATACAATTTGATGGTGAGTTGAGAGAGAGAGAGAGAGAATTGAGGTGTGCGTTAGGAGGCGACAGTAAAAATTATTGTGAATGTTTTGTAAAAAATAAAAGACAAATTAACAAAAGGAAAGAGGGAATTGTAAATGTCAAATGATGTACAGCAATACAATAAATTAATTTATATTAAAAGAATGTATATATATTGTTGTTATATATATATTTATATGCATACAGGTAGGTAAACGTGTTTAGTATTCTGTGTGTGTTTGCAGTGAGTGTCAAATAAATTAAATTCGAGTTTTGTTGTTACATATTAGTAGAGCATTTTATAGGTTTCTTGCTAGAGTGTTTTGTTTTTCAATATTTGCTTGGCCGAAACGACAACTTGTATTTTTTATGTTTTTTGATTGTAATGTATGTGCAGGGCGTGCTTTGTACTCTTACAGTTGCTGTACAATTGTTGTTCTGAGCGCGGTTATTGTTTTGGCATTTGGGAGGTGGTAGCACTTAGTAGTATCTATTATTATCTTCTTAGATGTATGCAAAAGTCTTAGGACATTATTGGAATTTTGGCATGTTTCTCTTTTTTTCCGAGTAATGTACAATAATTTTGAAAATTAACCAAAACACAAAACGGAAATACAAGAAAACACTAAATCATAACAATAATAGAGATACACGAGACTTAAATAGAGAGATTTTTGACCTAAACCCGAACAAGTTTCGCTTACCTTGCTGCGTCAACTGTACCACAGCGGCGGGTAACTTTGTGGAGACGGCAACTGGCGTCGCACCAACTGCCGGTATCTTTATCTCTGCTTCCGGTGGCAATGCATTACCACTTGTATCCACTAAGCTGCTCGTTGTGGACAATGTTCCAGATCCAGTGGATATTGCTGTCGCCGCTGCTGCTGTTATTGTTGTTATAGATCCACTACAGCTGGGACTTGATGATGCTGTTGTTGTTGCAGTCGCTGTTGCAGAGGCTGCGTTGCTGCCAGACTTGGCTGGCAACAGAGATTGCGTATTCTGTAGAGAAATATATATTATTTTCTCATAGGTATCTTTATATTCATGCTTCTTCTACTAACCGATTTTTGTGTGCTATTTTCTAACTGTATGCCTGTTGTCCCTGTAGTAGTAGTTGTTGTTGCTGGTGTTGCAGTGCTGCTGCCACTGCAGCTGCTATTACTAACTACTGAATCCGATGATGATGACTGCTGCTGTTGCGTTGTTGTTGTTCTGTGTGCTTGGCCCACAGCTGCTGCTGCTGCTGATGTGCTTGGCTTTTCCTCGAGTGTCAGCTGCTCGATACGATTCGCATTGCTATAGCTGATGAATTGTGGTGTTGGTGTCTTTTTACGCCACGCGGGGTAGTCCATCATACTGCCACCGTTTTGTAAATAAAAGTATTCGGACACATTTTCAAGATGTCTGCAAAATTTCAATACAGTTTTAGTCATTTCTATAAAATATTGATAGATCTGATTACTGATTTTTACCTTTCCTTAAGATTACGCAAAATTTGCAATTTCTGTTGTAGTATGCGCTTCCTGAGCGCATTCAAGTCTTGCAGTGCCGTTAAATCGGCGTCACCAATCTCGCTGCTGGCCACAACTGACGCCGGCAGCAATGAGCCAACAATATTGCTGCTACCAACTGCACCAACTATGCTGCTATTGTGGTTTTCGCTGGCGTCGTCGTCTCCTTCACCTTCAGTTTCCGTGTTGTTTTCTAGACGCGGGCGCTTGGCCTGTGGCGGCCTCGTGGACCCAGCTTCTGCTTTTATTGATGGATTGGATGATGATGATGATGTGGTGGAAGCAGCTGCTGGCGTTGCTGCCGCTGCCGTTGCCTCTGTCGACAAGTTCGACAGCGGCACAGGCAGCTGCGCACTGGGCAGCTGCTGCTGTTGGTGTTTGTTGGTTTTCTGCTGCTGCTGTTGCGTGTTGGCTGTTGTTGTTGCTGATTTATTGTTGTGATCTGTGGCTGCTGTTATTGTTGTTGTTGATTTTGGCGTTGTAACTGATTTTTCCGTTGATAGTAACGTTACACGGTCTGACACAGCAGGAGGGGCCGGGCTTAGCCCTTCATGCCCCCCTCCTGCTGAATTACCTTCATTCATGTTTGAGACATCTGCAAAAGGCGGGAAAAAACATTACACTCCAGTCTCGCCAATTTCGTAAATTTATCGCGTATTGCGTTCGACGGCGCACATTTTGCAGCCCTGGATTCGCCCCAATCAAACTCATATATATGTAAATAAAATTATCTTTACAATTTTTCTGCTGCGCAATCGTTACGCTTTAAACAATATCAGCGACATATTTCACTATTTTTCAAGCCACTTGCAGAACTGAATCGAGTTTCAGCAATTCTGCACTGCAAATGACAGCGGTTTCTTTTTTTATTATAAACACACACGCGTTGCGATAAATCATTTTGTGTGCTCTCCATTTTAAATAAATTTATTGAAGAGCCGCACGTTTAATTTAGGTTGGTTAGGTTTTGCAAGCTGCGGCACTTTTCGAACATGCTCAACGAATGACCGACGCTAGAGCGAGACGACTCTATAATGCATGTCTGCTGCTTCTACGTCGGCGTCGGTTCTTTGTTGTCCGGACATTTTTTCCCAACCATTTTTTTTTTTCTTTTTTTTTGCGTACCTCAGATGGGGAAAATTTTTAATCACAAAATATCCACATCACAGACATCCATCCGTGCGTGAAAATTGTATTGACGCGTTGCCGAAATTTTGCTGTACTCGCTAATGCAATATTTTTCCAGTATTTCCGCCTATTTCTGCACTTAAAATTAATTTTTTGCAGAAAAGCGTGCGCGAACACACCATTCAGCGTCGAGGTACATAGAAGAACTAGTGATGTGCCGAAAATATGACGTTCTGTAGTATTTCCGATATCGATAAAAATATCAGCACCACAAAAAATACTTTTAGCCATGTACGGTGTTCGCGCTTTTGCTGCATGATAGTATTGAAATTAACAGTTACATTGAACGGATTGCGTTATTAATAATTCATGTTTGCATTCACAAATTCAAGAAGACATGATTACTGACTAACATACGATTAGTTTTGGCGTCAACATTTTATAACGATATAAATGAAATATCGAGCCAGCTGTTATTGTTCTGTTACAAAATTCTGATCGATCGACGATATTTTTTGGCTCGTTAGGCCTCTGTTATGTCTTTGTACGTTTGTTTTGAAGCAAAGCAGACCGAACGACATGCAAATAAATAAAATCAATAAACAGAATTAGTCTGTTGACATTTTATTCACGATTTCGTTGTCTTATAATACATTTCTTATTGCCTAATAAAATGTACGATAATATTATATGCATCCTCTTATATTTTCAAATAAATAATACTTGCTTAATCACATTTGAACCAAGCCAGACATGTTTATCAATTATCAAATGGCCTTGAGATCTGCTCTCTTATTTTCAAGTGTGTATTCCGCAACGCTCTGAGATAAGCAACGAAAGGAGTGTACTGAATCCAAATGATTGTTTTGTATTGTATATGGCAAATCAGGTTTAGAAGGAACGCAATTAAAGCGTCGCCACTCAACTCAGTTTCACATTGGCCGCTGGACGCAATGAACGCATTTTGTAAAATTTTGTCAATTTTCATAATATCAGCGACATCATCATCTATTATTTGGGTGCTGGGCGAGTTCTGTGACAATGGCACTGGCGAGTGCAAAGAACTGACATCCACCAATTGTCCCGATATATTCCATAATCTGCATTTAATCGGTCCAAATAATGTCAAATACTGCAATGAATTAGAATATATTGTCTGCTGTCCTCTGACCCTAAATGACCAGAAGACACAAAGGGAAACTCTGGATACGAGAAAACTCTACGAAAAGGGTAAGCTCAAATCGAAAGATGTCTTGTTAAATTAGCTATAAATGATATTTTTTAGCATGTCGTGGTTATAATGATGTCAGATCCTCATGTCGGTCCACACCACTTATTCTGGGAGGCACCAAGGCAAAGGGTCGCGAGTTTCCGTTCATGGCACTGCTGGGGGAACGACAATTTCGAAGCTCCAGCGTTAATTGGAACTGTGGCGGCACTCTGATACATCCGAAGTTCGTGCTGACCGCCGCACATTGTCTGGAGACGGCAGAGTTTAAGGAGCAGCGCCTGGATCCCAATTACGATTCACCCAAATTTGCTGTACGCCTGGGCGAATTGGATTACAATTCGACCATGGATGATGCACAGCCGCAGGACTTTCGGCTAGTCAACTACGTGCTGCATCCGGCGTACGAGGAGGGCGAAGATGGCAGTCGTTACAGTGATATTGCTGTCATGGAGCTGGACAGGAAGGCCACCCTCACTGAGTATGTGGCGCCAGCTTGCCTGCCACCCAGCAGCGGCAATGAGCACTTTGATCTGATCGCAGCTGGCTGGGGTTATACAAAGGACGCGGGCAACAAATCATCTCATCTCCTTTCGGTAGGTCTTCAGCGCTACGGCAACGATGTGTGCGTTGAGAGAATTGGGAGCCGCATAGATCCTCGCACTCAATTCTGTGCCGGATCGGGATCAAGCAGCACCATTGCAGACACCTGCAACGGCGACTCGGGCGGACCAATTTTTGTGCAGCATCCGGCATACAATTGCCTCAAGCAAGTGATTGGAATCACTTCGTACGGAGCGATCTGTGGCAATTACAAGTTTCCGAGTGTCTACACCAAGGTGCATCTCTACACGGATTGGATTGAGAACATTGTCTGGGGTGAATGATTTAATTCTAATAAAATATGCCCCAAAAAACCATTAATTCATTTTGGTATAAAATTAGATTTTTGTTCTAATTTAAGTGCAGTATTTGATGCACAGGGAAAAATTTGAGAAAAGCCAGTTGATCGTTTTGAATAAATTGTTGTTAGCTTTAATATTAACAAACTAGTATAAATCAGTTAGCAAATATAAAATACTTGCATATTAATTTAGTGATGTGATTACTTATCATAGTTAGGAGGGATGTGCGAATGCGTAGGATGTGTGGGAGATACAATGTATACATAATACGTATATATATATATATATATATATATATATGTATTTATATATATAGATAGCTTATCGCTGCATTGTGCATTGTGCGGGGGTTGACTTAAGGCTAGAACACAATAATAAAAAGCTAAGCGCTAGAGAGGACCCTGTAGAAGACCAGTGACAGCCATAGCCACTTCTCATTGTTGCATGATGATTGTGCATGGTTGTTGATTAGGTTTATGCTGGAGTACATATTAACGACTATGTGCGATTTGATTAGTAGCGACGACGGCGAGTTTCATCGCTGCGTCTCCTTGCCGCGATCTCCTTCTTCTTGATCTCGCGCTGCTGATACACGAACAGTGGACGGAAGACAATTGCACGGCGTTTGCGTTCCCGACGATGACTCACGGGCCGGTCAGCTGCAGCAGCCACAGCCAGGGGCTGTTGTGTCTTCAGTTCCGACTGGAGATCGCGACGTGGCCGATTGCGAAACAGATCCGTTTTGGCCGAATCGTGGGCATAGAGTGTGCTAAGGAAATCAAAGTACGGTTTGGAGCGTAAACTGTCCGGCTGGGCTAGTGGTGAATTGTAGCTGAACTGATTTGGAGTCTCGATGTCGAGCAGTGTGTGTGGCACATCCTGAAGCTGCTGCACCTGCTGCTGTTGATACTGCTGCTGTTGATACTGCGGCTGGTACTGTAGACGCTGTGGCAACGCACTCACCAGGCCAAGCAATCCCACGGACAATGCCACGGCCAGGGTATAAAACTGCGGAAATAAGACGAAAAAAAAAAACAAAAGCAAATGAGTCAATTCAAATGGAATGGAGAAGGTGTGAATAGCACTTGGAGGCCAGAGAGCCAACAACGTTCTGCAATAATGCTTAGAACCAGTCTGAGCAATCGAAGCTCAGAGGCGATATCGCAGAGCATATGCTTTAAATTAGCATACAATAATTAATTTAAATTAAATAACAAATACCAATGATATAATCGCATTCAAATTTAATTTATAGTCACACGTAAAATATTCATGAACACGTCGAGTTGTGGATTATCGTCAGAACTATCATTTTTATTATTATGATTATTATTATTATTCTTATTAGCATTGGCATTATCTGTGGACACCCACGAGATGATAATTACTTGGGTATCCATGCGGTGGACCCAACCCTTAGCCGCGAAATTAAATATGCTGCGCCCTTGGGCGGGCGAAGCCGGATGCACGATTCCATTGAATCGTCGTTAGGTGCCATTTGAACTTAGATCCATAATACACATTTTAATTTATGTATCACATTTCGAATTTTGTGTTAATAAAATTAATCTTATTCTCGGCGAGCAAATTAAATGCTATGCACATGAATATACATACATATGTAGAAAAACCGGATAATCTTTGACGACAAATCGAAACCAGCTTTTGGATATTGATGAACGTTCAATGGCAACCCAAATCGAACTCATCCAACCTAAGTTCATTTTATTTTTCGCAATCACATTTTGCCTCACATTTGATTAAATATAATTATAATTAATCCTGTTATATGCGAAAACCGCAGACATCGATCGGATCATGATTCATGCTTAAAACTAAACTAATCGCAGAGCTTAAGTTGTTTTCTTTACGCATGTTTTTCTAAGTGAGTCCCCGAAAATCAACATACTTGAATAAATGAATTCATTGATATGCCTGAAGGCCACAGTAGACATGCCTTAATATCCCCCTCCCCCCTTTAAGCTAGATTGTTCAGTTTCTAACTGAAAGTTGACTGGATTTAATAGTAATTATAATTCATTCACTTCGGACATAAATAAATGTGTTTGTTGCTTTTTTTTTTTTTTTTTTTGCAGATCATTATGTAAATTTACAGGCTAAACCAATCCAATTAATTGATTTTCATAAAATATGAGACCAGGTCAGAAAAAAAATAAAGAAAAACAAAACTACAAGAAAGGCTTAAATTTATCTGTATCTTTGCATCTGTATTTATGTATCTGTATCTGTAACCGGTTGCGCTTTAGTGGCTCAGGGCTAACCCATAAGATGTATAACACTTGTTTTTTTGGGGCCTATACCCTGTATACTTAACACGCTTAAAAGGGGTATAACAAGGAATGAATCCAAAGAATGCTTGCCAACGCTCTGGAATATATCTTTGATCCTATCAAGAATATTATATATGTAGAATATAAATTGAATTTTTGGTTAAGTTTTAAATGAAGAAATAATCTTTGGGAACTGCAGCAACTGCATATAAAGTATTATTGGGGTATCCAGTTAGTACAGCCAACTCAACTGCTTCTTATTAAAGACTTCAAGCTGGATTTACAGCAAAATAATGTAATTCGCTGGGTCAAAAGACACATGATTTTTACGAGCTGTGCCCAGACTTCCTTATTAATATGTATATTTATATATATAAGCGTTTCACGACGAGTACTGTTTAAAAACATTTAAGCAATTAATTATAGTGATTAGATACGGTTTTCGACCTTGTTCAAAATACAAAAACAAAAACTTAAAAAATAATACTCAAAATTGCACGTTCTGCGTTGGCTTTAGAATTGAAATATTTGAAATTCCTTTGCACTCTTCTATTTGATATGTTAATAATGATATTCAAATACCAAATACTATTATGACTAATACTCACTTGATGTTTTAACGAGCACATGCTTTATTTATGTCTGATTATTCGATTATTATTTTGGTGTATATCCTGTGACACACAGTTGATTAAATATATTTGGGTATTTTTCAGTTGCGGGACAAACGTTGATTTTTTCTTTTTATAATCGGGAATTTTCGGCACAAAATGTTGTCTGGCTTATCACAAGCGATTGATCAATTGACGCGACGACGATTTGCAGTTATTTGTTTGATGTGTGTGAATCGATGTTGTCGCTGCTAAGCGTGCGCACTAACTGTTCAGAATATTTGTCACAAATTCACTTTTATATGGGCAAAAAACTGTGCGGCCCCAACACTACCCCTGCCCCTGCCCCTACCAGCAACCCAGACGCAGACACAGCCGTCATAATATTGCCGAACGGGTTTCATTTGACTACTGCTGCTGCTGCGGCTTTTGCTGCTATTGTTGCTGTTGGTGTTAAGTGTTGCCGATGTCACGAAATAGCTGCAGCTGAGCGCCGCTTGCTTGAGGGAAAATATTGAAAACAGGCATGCTGCTTTATTATTATTTTTACTATTATTGGCTCGTTTTCTTCTATCTACTATAATGACAATGTGTGCGAAAATTAAAAAGAGCATTTGAAATGTTTGCTAAATTTCACCAGTTCAAATTAGCTGTTTTCTGGCCAAACTTGGGCAACACTGAGTGCACTTGACAGCGTTGATCTTCATTGCCCGCGGATAACTCACGGATAAGTCACGGATAACTCTCGCCTAACACTTTGCATGACTTTGTCCGTTTCACGAATTAAGGCTTGTGATGTTTGTAGTGCGAGGGGTGTGTGTATAACGGGGTGGGCGCAAAGGGGAGGGTGCGTTCACTTTCTTGATTTTATATCTTGTGGCTTGTTGATAAATAAAAAAGCAGCAGCAGCAGCGGCAGCAGCAACAACAATTAAATTCAGTCAGTCATCAGGTTTGATTATTGCTATTATAAATAAAATTATATTGTGTGTATTTCGAGCATAAATGTTTGCCTTTCGCATTACGTCCAATTAAATCTTTCCATGACGCACACACTAAAATCAAACAAATCAAATCGATGCGAATCACTTTGACGCATTACGCAGACAGACACACGGACAGCGCTGGACAGGATTAGAGTGTGGCGCCTAAGCCAAAGCCAAAGCTATAAAAAAGAAGAAAAAAAAGCAATACGGAAGCCGGCAATTCTCAATTCTCGAGCTGATAATCGGCTCTAAATGGGAACCATATTTAAATGTACATATGTATATATATATATATATATATATATATCTAATAACCACTCTGGGTTAATGCGATTGTAGACGAGCTCATTAGGCAAATGATTGTCGCCGATGCTCGGAAAACTGTCAACACGCTTAACGTGGCTAAAACGTGTGCGAGTTGAGCGCTCTTGAAAATGATCTGTCAAGCTTAACGTTAACGTTAACCATGCCGAAGGTTAAGTGTTAAGTGTCTTAACACAATATTTGGGACAGCTCAAATGAGACAAAACTCAACGATGCAAGCCAAACGCGTCTGTTTTTTGCTATTGCTTTGGCCCAAGTTGAATGCGCCGGCGATGTGTGGTAAGAAAAATACACAAAAAAAAACATATTTTGGATTCCGGGATTCAGTTGTCTCGGAATTCCATTCAAAGCGACGCAAAGCGAGGCGAGACCAATTCAGGCAAATTCATTTATTTGAATGATTAGTTGAAAATGATTGTCAACACCGTTGTCCAAAATGCCAGCAGCGAAACAATTTTGTTGTTCTTCTCTTTTGTCTTTTTATTTATTTTTTTCTAATGTGCTGTTTAAGCGTTTTTTGATCTTATGTATTTGTTTAATAAATTTATTTTAATTGATTTTTAATTAGCTTCTACAAAGAGCCGGTTTCAAAGACGTCCAGAGACACAAGCACAGCGTCAAACAAATGTCAAAGAGTAAATTCAACAAACAAGAAACATACGACATAAACTGCACAGCTTGACAATACCCTGCCAGTCTGGAAATATGCCCGGTTGCCAGTTGTTGACAGGGTATTGCCATCGAAATTGAGATGTCTCACAAGTGATGAATGATTAGTATTCTTGAGAACTCCAATTAGCACCCTACCAAACAAAACTAAGTTGCATTTTTTTGTATGACATTATTTGAGTCAGCATCGTTTCCGTCATCTAATTAAATAGAAGATGGATGACGACTCCAGGTTGAGTGTGGAATGCAGCTTCCGTAAAAGTTGACCAAGGTGCTAAATAAATTTCGATGTGTGTGTGTGTGGCTGGCACCGCCCGACATTTCCACTGGTTGTGCCTTATTTGGAGTGTGATTTTTGTGTGTATATGATTCATGTGCTTATTTTAATACATAGCACTTACTAATTGAGTGAACTTATTGGCCCATATTTTAAAGAAACCCAATCATATTTTGACTTTGGCCTCCGGGCCAACCACCAATCACGACTAGATGTCAGCGATCCTCAACAAAACGCTTTGGTATGTCAACTGGTAGTGTTGACTGTATCACTTTTCACTTGGGGCGCTTGTTTGTTTTTGGCAAATTGCTCGTCAATCTGTGCGGCTATCAATTATCACTTTGCCAGCACACGTCACAGTCTTAATTAAATGATGGAAATTTATGACTACTGTGCCATTTATTTTGCCTTAATTAAAAACAGGCTGCTAATAAAAATTTATATCTTTCATATATATATATATAAAGTCAATCATTTGCCTAAGTCAAATTCCATAGTTAAACTTATTTTTTCAAATTTTACGCGCCACATCCACCGGATCTGGTGGCAACGCCGTTCGCAAATTTAAGTTGGCTGTTCGCTGCTTCGAACTGGCGTGATGTTGGCTGCGTGTCATAATAAGCTGGCGCGACATCGGCTGCGACCAAATTTAAAACACAAGGGAAATTTTCAATTTTGTTTTAATTTCCTTTATTGTTTGTTTGAATTACAAAATTAAATATATATTAAAAACGGGTTGTAAAAAAATTAAATCATTAAAATAGATTTGAATGTGAATTTTCAAGCATAAAGAATTTCCCAGTATTACTGTTATTTATTGCATTATATATATGTTTTTAATAAATTCATCCTGCTAGTCCTTTATCTTGACTGAATTCAGTTGTTATTCAAAATGCAACAATTTAGTGAACATTAACTGCAATTTTTGAATGAATGAATTCACCTCTGGCCTCGTTAATGTTAACGAACTAAGAGAGCGTTAACAGTGGCCAGGCATTGCAAGATCTCTTTACATAAGATGAATATCGTAATGCTGCTCGAGTGCTATTTGAGTGCTGTTATTTATTCTGTGTGCCTGCTCATTGTGTTACAAAAATTGTTAAGTGTCAAAATCTTTATTTTTATTTAAAAAATACAGCGTTTAATACAGTTGCAGGTGCCGGTATGTTTCACAATTCGTCGATAAAATTGTGATCGTCGGTTTTCAACTGCGGTTTTTTTTTGGTTTACCGAGCTTTAATTGGTAGCATTTCGTAGAAGAAAAAAATTACTGATCGCGTCGTGGATGTGTGCGTGAGTGTACATAACGAAACACATGCAAACAAAAATACATACGAATGGACAATTATAGGTACACACATACATACATACGTACAAACGACAAACAGCATACACACAAACATAACATATACTACAAACATACATACATATGCATAATGCTCTGTGCGTGTTTTTTGTTGCTATTATCGGTCTTTGCAAACACAAAACACATTTTTAATATTTAACTAATATTATAACTTCACACAATATTTCGGAGAAACGTAATCGCTTGTGGCACATTAACTAATTCAATTCCCTTTGCTGCACACACAAAACATATGCATTAACATTGACACACAACACTGTTATTTTTTTTCGATTGAACTCTAATCTGTTAAGATCTCTTTAACATTTGCTTTGAAACCTTTTTTTTATATGGCAAGGGGTGAAGGGTATGAAGCGTCGTCGTCGTCGTCTTTCTCGTTCGCCGGCATCGTCGTGATGAAAGAACCGAAATTTTTTCCTTTGCGTGTATTTATTTAGTTTGTTGTTGTTTTTGTTGTTCATTCGCGTCGCTTATTGCTGCTCTCTGCTCACTGTTGTTGTTGGTGCTGTTATAAATATTATATGTTGTTACTGTTGCTCTGCTGGCTGCGATTAGAATTAATTGACAAATGGCAAAAAAATGTTGCTTTTGTTATACGCTGCTCTGCTCAGAGCCATGCATTAAAAGCAAATAGCAAATAGCGATATCAAAAGCAAACCAACAAAAGCAAAGCAGAAGCAAATAACAGTTGATATACGTACACAAGTAACTGGCGAAACGAATCCATGAATAAATTATAAATACATTTTCAAACAACTAAAAAGCAGGCAATAACGTCAAGAGAACCGAGTTCGTTGACCGCCAACTACAACTAAAAAAAAAAAAAACAATAACAGCAACAACATTAGCAGAGATACCGCTGGTAATAAAAATAGGCATCAGAAACATAGGCATAGAAAAAGCATACATTTAACATTGGGGGCATATTAAATTAACACCTGTTACACACACACGCCGACCCGTTTATGTTATCAACATCTTAACCCTGCCATGACCATGCTGGCTGTTTAACACTGTTGCTCGTCCAAGGTTCCGCTCAAACTGGAACGAGAGATCTTGATAATTGCACACACATGCACAGACACAATTTAACCCTTAGTTGACCTTTTTAACCAATTGTACACTTTTGAGTTAAGCTTAATATTTGACGTCTACATTTTACAGTTTCATATGACTGTATTTATGCTTGTGCTTCTTACGCATTGAGAGAGCTGGAAAATTGGACTAAAGTTGAAAGCTAGGCATAAATAATGGCTTCAATCTCACAGAACAAGAGACAAAAAGTGAGCGAAACACAATGTGCGGAGGAGATACCGAATAACTACGAGGAACTGGATATTATCGGCACAGGTAAGTTTAAAGAAAATGCAGTTTATTTGTCATCATATCAGAGTTTCTGTTTATTCAGAAATTCCACGCATCTGTCTTCAGCATGGTAGGGTATTTGACAGCATATGTTGCCTGACCCAATGCAAATATTTAAAACTTAACGACCGCAGCGAGTGCAATGCTGGAGTTCCAAAAAGGGGAAATACTGGTTTTTCGATGACATTTTCATTGAATGCAGACTCCTCTCCATCTTCAGGCCTGTAAATACGGGTTTACAAATACCTTTGCATACTTTCAGGTTTTATTTTCGAAACCGCGTGCAATTCGTTTTGAAAAACGACAAAATAGATCAAAAGCGACTCAAATAATTGTCAAATTTAAGATTCAGATTCAGATAAAAGGCCACGACAAACATTTCAAGTATTTTTTTTTATGTTTTGTGCTGCAAAAACAAAACTTCAACTTAAATCAATTACGTCACTGAGCGTGTAGTGTTAAGAGGGTTTCTCATAGTGAATGTTAATGATGTTTATTATTATTAATACTGCTTTGTTTGCGATTCAGCGGGTTTGTTGTTAAGTCAGCTTCAGCATGGGCGTAGCTTGGAAAGGGGGGTTCTTAACCGCTCAGCAGGGTCAACAATGGGTTAATGCTCATAAGTTTGATGTGAAACAAGATCTCACATTTTAAGGTATGGGTAATCAAGTTGATAAGTAACCTACCCCCATCCCCCCAAGGTCCATGGCAGAGCAGAGAAATAAAAAAAGTGAAATAAAAACAAGTTTAACTTAAAAAGGCATTTAAGAAAAAATGTTTCAGCTTTTGCTTGATTTTTGCTATTTTTCAGATTCGCATTCGCATTCATTCAATTATTGGCTCTCTTTGCTTGTCTGATTTTTTTTTTTTTGTTTTGTTATTGTTGTCTTTGATTTGTGAACAAATTTTTTGACAATTGAAAGAGCCGCCGCACAAAAACGAGTCGACTAAAAAATAGCCGAGCGACAGACGAATGTGCAAAATGCGAATATGTTTTGTTTTTGTTTCTGTTTTTTGGTGTTTTATTGTATTGTGTATTAGGCTGTTGAAGCAAACCTGGCCTTGTACTTGACTCTTCAAGCTATTTTTTCATTTTATTTTTTTTTTCGAGCAGCCAAAAGTTGAAACGGTGAATTGTGCGGAATATGCTGAAAGTGAATATCACCCAAAATAGAACTCCCACGCCCAATGCGAATGCCATCTGTCCGAATGTTATGCATAACTTGTCAATCTATCTCTATCTCTGTTTGTCTGTCCGATTCGATGATAAATTTCCGGTGTGACAGAATTTTTGTCTTTTTAATTTGAATCCTCTCTCTTTTTTGATTCTATTGCCTCGCGTTTTCGTCATTGTCAAATATCAAAAAATCAGCCGGTTGCTTATCAACACACACAGCTGACGGGTGGTTTTTTATTCTTTTTTTTTGTGTGTTGAAATTCGCTTTTTGTGGGTTCTTACTTATCACACAAGCTAAATACATACGCGCATACCTATTTATGTGCGAAATTTCTATTCCGTTGTTATCTACGTTCTTGTCAAACCAGAAGTATTTTGTTGATTAACATTTCATTTGAGTTTGCAATTTGCTTTTGACTCAACTTTCATTTTATACATTCAGCACTTTGTATAGAGTCCAAGGCCAAAAGCACCTCTCTCTCTCTCTCTCTCTATCCCTATCTCCCACTATCTATGTCTGTGTGAGTGAATGTGACCTACATATTTACATACATCAGTGTATAACATATGCGTATGCAAGCGATCATTAACAGTTACATATATGTTACGTTTACATTACAGGCGCCTACGGGACAGTTTATCGGGCACGCGACAATGTGACCGGCTGCTTTGTGGCCATCAAAAAAGTGCGCATTGCACTCACCGAAAACGGAGTCAGTGCGTCCACACTGCGCGAGATTTCGCTTCTTAAGAAGCTCAACACATACAATCATCCGAACATTGTTAAGTGAGTAGCTGCATGTGCATGTGTGTATGCATGTTATCTTCATGGCGCCACACTATTTTCAGAAAATAAGTAGTTACGTTACGGACACAGATTACACACGGTGTGTGTGTGCACTTTATTTTTGCAGTCATATTTAGCTCGGCACTGTTATTATCTTTACATTTAGCACGATTCTTTATTGGCTGGCGCTGCTCTCTTTCTGGCTGACCTCGTAGAGTCGTTTACTGCACAACTGAACAGTTGCATTCCACCCCCATACCAATACGCATGCACACTACAGATTCACAAACACACACACTTTAACAGTGGCATATGCATATCAAAAATAATAATTATGCCAAACGTCAAACAAAAAGTGGCGACGTTTTTCTGCCCTAGTTTTGCTGCTTATTGCTGATAACGACAACAGTCGCTATGCTAATCTATTACCATTTGAATATGAAGTTGGACTGCATCTTAACATCGAACTATGTTCGAATACCAAAGTATACGAAAAATTGCCCATAAATATGACAGCTTTGCTTACAAATGAAATTAGCTTATACCAACATGTTGGTACGTACATGGGGATTTACGTTGCAATAGTACTTAAACTCATACAGCACACTAGCGTCAACAGCGGCGGGATTGAGTACTAGGAAGAGAGGCAAAAATTCAAACGCTCTCAGAGTACTAAAATCCGCTAATCACTCAACAGACAGCTGGTATTGTGCTCGGTTCTCAATTACGACATTACGATCAAGAGTAAATTAAATATATCGTAAATAGCTCACTGCTAAAGAGCGCATACAACAACAGAATGCTAACTCTGCTGCTGTTAAAATTTTGAAAGCATTTAACTTATATTTTGGGGTGGAAATTGAAATTCATAATTAATAAAGAAAAGCTGTTTTCAATTAAAGTTCTTCAAATAATTTTAAATGTTGAGCGCCAAACTTGTCAGGATTTATGGAAAATGCATTGTTACGAAATTTATGAATTTTGTGGTAAATGTTAAGCATTTCAGTTTTTCGCTTAACAGTGCTTGGCAGCTGTTCGCTAAACGGAATGTTAGTCAGTGACTCTCCATATTCAACCTGGGGCAATTACGTTATTCGCTCTCACATACTCTTGATCGACTCTATTGTAGAAATTATCATGTTTGGTCTGAGTCGAGTGGTTTCGTAATACCAGAAGAGGCCGCAGTATGGCTGCTGGCGCTAAAGTGCCAAGCAACATTTTGAGCAAGCAACAACTCAAACAGCAATAAACTCTCCACTCACACACATATACCACAAATCTACACTCATTGTGATTTCCCCTCTCTGCAGACTGATCGAAGTATGCCAGTTTCTGGAACGTGGCAACAAGTTGCTAATTTTGCTGGTCTTCGAGTATTTGGAGCAGGATTTATCCGATCTGATTGAGGGTCTGCCAAAGTCAGGGATGTCCCCAACAACAGTACAGGTAGAATATAAAGTACCCATCAAAGTTGTTCATTTAATTATTTATTATTTTTTTTGCAGCGCATTTCCCGTGAACTGTTAACAGGCATTGATTTTTTACATGCAAATCGGATTATTCATAGAGATTTGAAGCCACAGAATTTGCTCGTCTCGTCGCAGGGCCATTTAAAGATCGCCGATTTTGGGCTGGCGAAAACGTACGATTCCGAAATGAAAGTCACCTCGGTGGTGGTCACCCTGTGGTACAGGGCGCCCGAAGTGCTGCTAGCCCAGGGCTACAACAGCTCCGTCGATATTTGGAGTGCGGCTTGCATCATTTTCGAGCTGTTCAACGGCAAACCTTTATTTCCAGGCACCTCCGAAAAGAATCAACTGGATCGCATATTCGAGTGGGTCTTTGAATGAAATATAACTGAATATTATATATTTTATGTTGCACTTGTATTATATCAATAGACTCACCGGTCGTCCCACGGATCAACAGTGGCCCAAAAGTATTTCTGTTTCACGGGAACATTTTCCTCCCCGCAGTCCGAAAAGACCCCGTGATTTTTATCCAGATTTGTGCGAATATTCCGATGATTTGCTCAGCGTAAGTTGCGACATTTTAACACTATTCCAGAATCTCTCTGTTAATCTCTCTGTCTCGCTCTCGCTATCGCAGCAAATGCTTTCGTATGAGCTGCATTCGCGTCCCTCTGCTTTGGCCTGTTTGTCGCACGAGTATTTCCAGCAAGAGCCAATCTAGTTTCCAGTCAGTCACCAGAGTCACCCTGTGAGAGCAAGCAATTGGTTTTGTTTGTTGAAATGTTCCTTTTTATTATACTTTACTTTATAATGTAGGTATTTTTTCCGGTCTTTTTTTATTTTATTTTTTTCGTAATAATCCACAGTTTGTTAGTCGTAATACAAAGTTTAATTGTGAAGCAACTGCCGTTCAACGAAACTCGAGGATTGCGATCCGGTTTGAAATGTGATACACAAAATGTTCAGGACTAAAAACATGCTCAGGCATCTACAATAATAATAGAATATGCAATATATGAAAATATACCACGTAAAATCTAAATACAATTATACAATTGGAGCGAGCTTCAAATGTAATTCTTATATTCAAAATTGAGCTGTTCGTACACCACTATATTTACATACATATATATATATATATATATATATATATACATAGGCATATATACACTTTTTATACATTTACATAAATATACAAAACTTGTTTGTAATTATTAATTTTTAAGCAAAAAAAATAATGAAATAAACGGAAAACTTAAAATTTAAACATGGCGCTCATTTTATTAACAGTTATAAATCTGTTGCTTGCAATAACATTAAGCAGATATAAGAGCGACGTTAAGCACAGTGCTGGAAAGTGTCCGTTAAGCGACGCTGTTAATTACGATATCACACTTAACAGTGATCGTATTTTGCTACAGTATAAGAGTTGCACTGTTAACATCAGTGCTGTAAAGTTCAGTTAAAATAAGTGCTGTACAATGTTAAAAAATGTATTTGTTTTTTTTTAAAATAACGTCATATCTTTGGCACAAATGGAATGTTATAAAAAATTTGTAAAAAAATATATATCACTTTTTGATTATCGAATTAGGAGGCGAGTCCAACGATTATGTAAAAGACCAAAGGCAGCACAAGATTATCCACCTGATCGGTGAATGCCTCAACCAGCGACGCATTCAAGGCAGCAAAAATCGTTGCAAACCATTTGGCTTGCGACATGGCCAAAATTCCACTTACTTCCAGCAGCAAAACGCAGAGCAAAACAGAAGCAACAAAAGCCAATGTGCCCTCCACAGAACGAGCTGAATCTGCAATTAAGTAATGCATATATTGCACATATAAATCTGATATTATTTTAATATTTACTCTGCCACTTGTTGCGTCCGAATTTGGATCCCAATACGCTGGCTGCTGTATCGCCAACGCCCACAGCTAAAATTCCTGAGAGGAGGAGCAACAGCTGCGGATTCTGCCCGGACGTGATCAATCCACATGGACAGGGTGTCAGCCAGATGGGCAGCGAGCAGCCAATGAGCAGGCAGAAGGGCGTCAGCGCCAATTGCCCCGCATCCTTCGCATCCCGGAAGGAGTCAAAGGCCTGTGAAAGTGTGGCAGCAAATGGAGGCATCTGAAGCAGACGCAGCAACTCCAGAACCACGAAGATGGCAAAGGATATCCCAGTAGCAATGTAAAGCAGGGCACACTGATGCACCAGACCGGGAACAAAGACGAGCACAATGAGCAGATGGAAAATCTTGCGGATGCGGGTTGTCGCCTGCTGGGTGCTCCTTAGCTGCCAATGGACGGTGGCACAGGTCAGCGCCACCAGCAGCAGATAGAAGCCAATGATGAACAGCTATTCCAAGGGGGGATTATATCACAATAATGGTGATATTATAGATCATGAGTTCAACTCACCCTCTTCTGATCACTGACCAAAAACTGGAGGAGGGCAATCAGTGGCAGGGGTTGGGTGACGGGAGCACAGGTCACAGCTGCCACCAGCAGTAGCAACAGCACGTAGCAGGGCAGAGGCTGGCGCAATGGAGGCACCACAGCAAGCAGAGTGCAAACAAGGAGCAGCAGCATTAAAGCACTCTGCATAATCCTATTCAGCTGTCCAAAATCAGTTGTGGGATTTGAGCTCAGCTCGAGTGCCAAGCGACAAATCGCATTCAGCACGAAGAGCAGCAGTCCCTGCACCAGAATTGCAGCCTCGCCATACGTAAAAGTCTTTGGCAATCCGCGCAAGACCCTGATATAAATATGCTGATAAAAGTGGGGCACAATGAAGCCAACAACAATCAAAGAAATCCAACTTGTTTTGGGCAGCAGAATAAACCAGATTGTTGTAATAATAACAGACTTCAGCAGGTACTTCATTAGACCGATACAAGGCACATCTTTGACGATGGAGTTGAGCAGAAACCAGAGCGTTTCCAGGCACATGCCAAATGCAGCCACAATTAGAAGTTGATGCACAGCATCCAAATTGGAGCATTCCTTGTTTGTGTGCAGATAACTGGTGGCTAAAGCTGTGGGCAGCAGCAAGCACAGCCAGCCGCCATTGGAGGCCACCGGTCTAAGCGTAATAAAAATCAATTCATTTAAAATTTCATTTATCGACTTGGATTTGTTTACAATACCTGGGCAAAAGTCGGTCGCACATATCTGCACACAGTGTTGAATAACCACTTGAAGTGCTTGTGCGTAGCGCTGTTAAGAGAGGAGTAATTTGCATGCACAATCGATAAGCATAATATATCGATATTTAGTTTTTGCTCCACCGCTAACAGTACAAGTTAAAGTTTTCTGGTACAGAGCTGAGGCGGTGCGTCGACCAACGATATACACGAATATCGACATTGGCTGAGAGAGTGTAAACATTATAAATTATAAATAAATAAATGAGTCCCGTTCCGTCTGCAGCAGCGTTAAGTTCGAAGACACACCTCAAGTCGCAGTCGCGCGCCTACGTGCCATTATTTCGTGACTTTCGAGTGCTACAAAACGCGGCCAAATCGCATAAAAATAGCAAAAAACGTTTCCACACTGAAACACCAAAAGTTGTGAACCGCTCTCTTCTGTTTGTTAAATGTGCATTTAAAATTACCCGTAAATCGGAAAGAGTTCTAATTTCCCAGTTCAGTTGTGAATTGTGCCAATCAAAAATATCGAAAACAAATTTTTGAACGCTAGCAGTGCATTCGAATTTGAACACATTGCTGCTTACTCTACACTTAAATTTATTTGTTGTTATTATTATTATTGTTACCGATTTGAATGTCCGAAAATAAAGGTATCATGCTTGCAAAATCTATGCAAAAACACGCTGGACGTGCCAAGGAGAAGGTAAGCTAACTGTGTAAATACTTAAATATATATATATATATATATTAAATATAATATATATGTATGTATATGTAGTAATTTTGAGGCAAGTGCTCGGACACATTTTCTAGGGCGTGCTGCACAGTAATGTAGCACAAACCACCCTCCACCACCCATCTCCAACCACTTCAACGCTCAACTGTCATACGGTTTTGGGGTCGTGTCCCTGCCCCATTTCCAATGAAGCATTTTACTCTCCATGTCCAATTAGAAGCTCTACAAATTACAACAGTAAATAATTTATATATATTTGTAAGAAAGTACAATCAACTTTAAGTACTCCTGGACATACATACAATTAGTAGCACATGCCAAGCAAATAAACCTTTCTTATAAAATCAGTTCACAAATCACACGCAAGATTTGTGGCTTAACAGGGGTGTTCCATTGGAGTAAAAGTTAAAAGTAAACTCAACAGAATATGAGCCAACGCCACCTGTCGTCTCGTTAGGGCGTTGCAATGGGAAGCTCTTCACTCTGTCTATGGTGTATGTGTGCGTGTTTGAGCGATCAAGTTTCTGGCGCTGATTTTCAACGCTTAAAGTTTCGTCTCTGTCTCTTTTGTGTTATTGTTGTTGTTGCGTCTCTTGTTTAATCTTTGCCGCCATCGTCGTAGTACAAGTGAAAGTTTGGCGCTTGAACATTGGTCCAGGAGCGGCCGCTCAACTTTAATGTGAATGTCAATACACACAAATACAAACACACACGCACACACATCTATAGAGATTTACATGAGTGTAAAAAGCTGCAGTTTGACCCACTCGTCGTCGTTGGCACGTCGCATGGCGTTGTCTTTCTTGTAAACAAGTTTTCGGGCAAAGCAGCATTCCAAACGGCAACCAGAAAATGCTGTAATCTAAGCTCTCCGCTGCTGCTGTTGACTGATGCTTCTTCTCGCGCAGTCTTAAAGCCCATTACTCTAGCTGCTTCTATTGATTTGCTTCTCCCTCTCTCTCTCTCTCTCTCTCCCTCCCTCTCTCTTCCTAGCTGTCTCTTTTTTTTTTGTCTTGGCATTTACAGTTGGATTTCTAAAGTTCGTTGGTATTTTTTGTCTGCTCTTTTTGGATGCGCAAATGCTTCGCTCGTGTTGATTGGTCATTAAACTTGAACAAAATTCTTCTGCGGGCCTTCGGTAAATGTCGCCATTGCACTGCCTGAGAATCTATTTTCAAACCAGAAGTAGCCTTTTAATTAGGCATTCCTTGACATTTCCTGGAAAGCAATTAGAATAGATTTCACATTCGTTAAATTTACGCTTTTAAGCTGCTGCAATTGTAAAACTTTAAATAGCGGAAACTAATAAGAAATTGATTCTAATGTCTGGACGTTCTAATTTTGTACTGTAATGTAGAAACACAAGTTTCTATGTACTAAATTTCAAAGTTTTTACGTGAAACGAGCCAAAACAGATGATGATGATGATGAGGAAGAATTGTCTATTTCATAATTTTCTAGTGATTTTATTTTTAAAATTATAGACTAGTTCGTACTGAGCACGTTTTGGGTGCCCGGCGCTTTGTATTTGCAGTGTGTGTGCTCATTTCGGTAAATGTACATTGTACAATATGTAATAATCCCAGAGAGAGACAAAAAGTGGGAGACAGAGAGAGAGAGAGAGAGAGAGAGTGAGAGAGAGAGAGAGAGGCAGCGAGAGAGAGGCTGAGAAACGGAACATGCTATTGTACCCCAGCAAAGAAATCAAAAGACAAGCACATTTTCTTTAGAGAAAACTTGTCAAATCGAAATACACACATTCATCGCATAACTATAAGATACAGATGTATCTATGTATGTATGTATGTATGGCTAGAGATACATTTTCATTTTGGGTGCGTGACTGGCCCAACAACGCTGGTCGCTGCGTGAAAATGTCTCCTGGCAGCAGTCAATCTTTAAATAGATGCTTCTTTACTCTCTACCATTTGCTATGCCAGATACAAATTCAAATACAAATACAAATTGAGACACAACAACATTTTGCATTCTTGTTTTATAACTCTATGCGCTAGCTGCCGTCGCCTTCGATTTTGTATACATATCGCAAGTTTTCATTTTTGCAAAAAGCGACACAACGCTTTTCTATCGAATAAGTAATTTTATTTATTTTATATTTGCGAAATTTCGCCCGCGCTACGTTGTCTCGCATTTTTGTTGCTATTTTTAAGCGCGTCCCGCAACAGCTGCCAAAATTTGCTTTTCACTTTGCTGCTTGCTGCTTGACTATCAACTGCAAACATATATATATGTATATATATATATTTACATATATTTATATACATATATATGTACATCTCTCTCTTTGTATTTCTTTGTTTGCTGAAGTGCAACAGCGATTGACATTTTATTGGCAGCTCAATTTTTAGAAACTCACAAACTTGCCTGTTGAATATTGAACTTCGTGTATGTCGTCGTCACCGTCTGCTTCTTATTTTTCTGGCCGATTTTTAAATGCCAATTGTTGCTACTTAAAAGAAGATTGCATAAAATGTCACATACACATACGTATATGTATATGTAATTGTCGAAAAGAATACTAATCGAAGCGATAGGTGACTTTAATTGAATATTTTATACATATTAAATTGAGATAAGAACTGTTGTGGGTATCTTTCAGAACTCGTGTCTTACTCATAGCTATGAGTTAAATCGAAAAAAAAAAGAATTTTTATATGCTTTTGTTGCTTTACTCGTTTATGGAGCAATAAATAATTTTTATATTAGAGTACAGTAATGCACCAAAAGCACCTCAAGTTAATACATATATAATTGAAACATGCCAAGAATTTCCGAATTTCGTGTGAGTTTTGTTTTTAGTAAAGTACGCTTTTCCCAGGCGACAACATGAAGAACTGTTGTTACAGTAATCCTAAACCACCCAAAAAGAAATCAACTTGAATTCGAATCGTGTCTTTATTTAGAATAACAAGCGCTTTTATAAATACTTGGAACCCTTTGAAAATTGAGTGTTTAGCAAAAAAAATGAAGCGCCAGCAGTCTTAAAAAAAAAATAAAACTAACGAGTCTATTTGGGTTACAACAGATAAATAAGTGTGTATTATGACGATTCGCATTGCTGGCCTATTGATTAGCAGGTGCAGCTTGTATACGCCCCCTTTTTGGGGGCGTCAACTCAGCTTGCGATCGCTTATTAAGCGATTCAATCGAGCGCAGTCTGTAAGTACTCGAATGGAGTAGGCGAGTAGAGATGGAAGTCACTGTGACAACGAATGCGGATACAAATCATGCTGACGTCCACTGATAATGGTCTGTTGTGTGTGTGTGTGTACAATTATAAGCCATTTGATTATAGGGGTATGCATGCACATACACATACACATATATTTAAAGAGGCGAGCTTATTAAAAAATTCAATTATAGAAATTGCCAACAATAATCAACGTAAAGTGACGACTGCGCAATGTGGGAAATGTTTTATTTTCCTTTCCATTTCTTTCTTGCTTACGTTTTGTTTGAATGTGTCGCGTCAGTTGTTTGATTGCATAACAATTGAATTACGTTTAGACATTTATCGGCACTTCACTTGATTTATTTTATGCAATTGTTGTCCAGATGCCGCCTCAACAACGAACAACGGACGTTTCCATAACTCAACGCCAACCAAGAAAAATATGAACCATTCGGGGAATTGATGTTGTCTGAAGTTCAAGTGTCGGCACATGAACTTTATATATATATAGAAAGTATTTCGATATACATTCATATATATATCTCATTAGTGTTAAGCTCTTTGTGCCCATTATCAACACCTTTGTGGGCGCTATAAAGCAACAACTTTATATCAAATTTAAAAACACAATGTCTATCAACAAAAAAAAAAACAAAAGCATACACAAGAACAAAAAGCAATCGCAAGTGAGCATCAACATTTTGAAGTGGCTAGCAAGGTCAATTACTGTTCGTCGTGCTCACAGGTCGTATACGTAATTTTCTGTTGTTCACTTTTTATTAGCTGCGCTCTCACGCACACCACACGCATAAGATGTGCTTTTTTCTTCTGCACAAATTTTCAGGCTCATAAATTTTGCCAAGCACAAAATATCTAGAGAATTTCCTTGACAAACTGTATTCAATGTGTTTGGAAGTCCACTCATCTCGATGCCACAATTTGTGTCCGCCTCGAATACATCAGATGATGATTCCTACCATTTCTCCAAACTTATAAACTGAATCAGCTTTTCGGCGTAGAGATTGTGTTTTCTTGTCAATTTTTGTTCATATTTGTTTTCTGTTTCTGTTCCTCCTTTCCTGCTCTGTTCTGCTCTGCTTTACATATCTTTCAAACTCGCAAAGTCTATTTACGTGACATCGTTCCTTTTTTTTTATAAGCCGCACTCGTTAAAAATGGGTAAAAAGGGTATAAGGTCTACAGACTCAAATTTTGGTATAGATGCTCTCATACGAATGACTGCTACCCCAATATCGATAAGAATGGATTACGGATAGTAATAAATGACACAATTGTCAAGTTATATCTTTCAAAGCAGAAATTAATATACCTGGGTATAGCTTTGATCAATCTAGGCACACATACGGTTTGAATATCTGAGACGTATACGACATGTGATAGTTAAAGAGTATTTACAAGTCGGGCTGGCTCTCTCGACTAGAGCATGCGTACATGTTTGTTTGTTTCTTCTTTTGATGAAATGAACCCAGAGAGAGAGAGAGAAACTCTATCCCTATTAGATTTACATAGTTGAATTAAAATTCTGAGCTGAAATTTCGCCGGCTTTTGTTTGCGGAAATGCAAAGATAGGGAAAACTCTGCCTGCCCTAGAACAAAGGCGTCAGTTAACCCAAAAAAAAAATAATAATAAGAATAAAAAAGGGGGGAAGCTGAGCGACTGACACGCTTGGGTGTTGTCCCACATTTGGTGAATGTCATACGAGAATAATGCAGCTGGCAGATAAAAAGATACAAACAGATACACGAGCTGTGT